ATAAGATTTAGAATATTAGGATGTAAAATTCCATTTCATTTCATTAGCCCAATAAAAACATAACAGATAAGATTTAGAATATTAGGATGTAAAATTCCATTTCATTTCATTAGCCCAATAAAAACATAACAGATAAGATTTAGAATATTAGGATGTAAAATTCCATTTCATTTCATTAGCCCAAAAAAAACATAACAGATAAGATTTAGAATATTAGGATGTAAAATTCCATTTCATTTCATTAGCCCAATAAAAACATAACAGATAAGATTTAGAATATTAGGATGTAAAATTCCATTTCATTTCATTAGCCCAATAAAAACATAACAGATAAGATTTAGAATATTAGGATGTAAAATTCCATTTCATTTCATTAGCCCAAAAAAAACATAACAGATAAGATTTAGAATATTAGGATGTAAAATTCCATTTCATTTCATTAGCCCAAAAAAAACATCACAGATAAGATTTAGAATATTAGGATGTAAAATTCCATTTAATTTCATTAGCCCAATAAAAACATAACAGATAAGATTTAGAATATTAGGATGTAAAATTCCATTTCATTTCATTAGCCCAATAAAAACATAACAGATAAGATTTAGAATATTAGGATGTAAAATTCCATTTCATTTCATTAGCCCAATAAAAACATAACAGATAAGATTTAGAATATTAGGATGTAAAATTCCATTTCATTTCATTAGCCCAATAAAAACATAACAGATAAGATTTAGAATATTAGGATGTAAAATTCCATTTCATTTCATTAGCCCAATAAAAAAAGTTAGCAGTAGTTTTCAACACTCCATTTCATTTCTTTTTATCTACTGTCGAGTTCATTAACAAAATGAATATTTACCTAACAATCAAATCATATTGATAATGTTTATTATTTTATAGTCTAGTAAACATGAACTTGTTCAAGGGATCTACTCGTCAAAATATTTCCTTTACCAACTGACTGTGGCAACGCCATCCTTAAGAGACTAGGGGTACAAATAGTGGGCAGACTGACTCAATGGGGGGACAACTGTCAATGCTGAATTTAAAATGCGGCAACTCTGTGATGGTGTCATAGTCGCAAGCCTCTCATGGAGCATCTGAGAGGGTTTCTCGAAAAAGAAAATATTCGAAAAAAATGATTTGATTCATTCTGACGCATATTTTGGAGCAAATACTTATAAAAGTGGGGGGGCAACCATTTTTCTACTATACTATATATATACGGTGCTTGAAAGGGATATCTGATTTTTTTTACTTTACCAGCTGAAAGAACCTTAAATATCTTAAAGCTGTGAGTTAATCCCTTCTCCCATTGAACACAAATTTTGAGTTTTTTGTTAGACATTACACTAAAGTTTATCTTTCCTTTTGTATCTTCTTTAAATACTTTTAAATGCCAGAGGATTTTATGCAAGGACTCAACAATTGAGCTCTTAGTTTATCCTCCTTTTCAAATGTCATTGAAAACTTCATAAAATGAAAAAAGAGTCCTTTTCTATACATCAACCTCATTTTGAAACATTTCAAATTTTATGCTCTCCTGTTTTGAAGGGGCTTTTAACACAATGAATCTTTATTGATTAGATTTGAAGTCATTTGGAAAATACAAAGTAGAATTTTATGTGAACCATTTTAAGCATTTGAATTATTTCTACTAGCTAACTTCACGATAAGAAATCAATTGACGCAAATTCAACGAGACTTGATTTAATTCTGCGAGATTAACATCCAAATTCAAATGTTTTTATCGTGGCAGTTAAACGTTTGTAAAATCAATTATTGCGTTAAAAGATTCGATTTTATGGCCTCCTTTTAATCCCAGTGTCAGGTTGTAGATATTTCACGATTTGACTTCGCGATATTTATTGGTAATGACAGACATAAGTCTATCTATAATTGATTCGCGGAGGCAATGCTCTGACTTCTTTCTACTTTGTCTTTTTTACCTTCATTTATGGAGAGTAGTTAAATGAAATCAGAGCTGAGAAATTTGTCTTTTTTACCTCCAATTCTAGAAAGTGGTTATTTTTTGTGATATCTAAACGACATGTTTTGACAATATTGGATAGGTTTTATAGGAACACAATCATAGATTGTTATCAATTGCAGAGTGGCTGTCTGGTATTCTAAAAATGTCATTGATATTGCCAATGATCTACCTGACACCCCTTATCTTTAAATAAACTCTTCCTCACATGCATATTTTCCTTTAATATGATATTGTGTATGTATGATTGGAAGAGCTCATTTGTAAAATAAGGGGTGTTTATTGTAATCTGACAAATTATCAATATTTTCATTTCTGTGTATAAAAAAATGCTGTTTCTTAGCAACGCATTTCAAGTAAATGAACTCAAAAAGGATGCTAAATTTTCTGTCTAAGTCACTATGTTTGCAAAAGGTGATTTACATTAAAAAAAAAGATTCCTGCATCTGCATTTGAAACGCTTGAATGTTATCAAAATACGACGTTTTTTTTTCTTTTCTGAAAGACCAAAAACCACTTTTCAAATGAATTAAAAAGGCTTTATCAAAATTCAATTTCTGCTCTATGCGTTTGAAATCCGTAGAATAGAATTGACAGTTGCTGTGAAGATGTTCAGTCAAGTTGAAATGACGCTAACTTCACCATTTTCTATGAAATTCTATTATTCTTCACTTTCTGTTTTGTTTTTAAACAAATCAAATCGTGCGTTTGACAAATATTCAGCTGATCAAGTGTATGGCTAGGGTTGGTCTAAAACACATGATGGACCACACTCTCTAAGATTGCAGTGGCCATTGATTGCGATGTAGACCTACCTTGCTCAATGTTCGGTGTGTTATTCTGTGCTCAGTGTATGGATAGGGTTGGTCTAAAATGCATGATGAACCAGACTCCCTAAAATTGCATTGGCCATCAGTTATTTTTGCTATGGGTTAATGTTATAATGAATGACGAACAAAACAAAGAAAGAACTTTAGTGAAATTTGGTTGTCATAATCGTTCTAGAATGACCACTTAAAATGTGCTGAATTTCATTTGTTGGTTTAAAAATTTGTGGAGGCAACTTGTATCAAAGTCTAAAAGGGAAGGGTGTCTCAGTTTCCATGGCAACAATCTTTGAGCACACCCTAAGATTGGTATAATTGAGAAACAATTTGAAAGAGCTTACATAAATTGTGTCCATGGCAAATAGTTTTGAGGATTTTTTGCCAATTTCATTTAAAGTTTGCTTGTTGAAATGGCCGTCTGGCGTTTCTCACTAACCATTCTCAGCCATTATTTTCGATTCTGATGTCAGCCATGTTGTTTTTCTTCTCATTTTGCGTGTTCGTGCTAATGTTTGCTGCCATCAACGGCTTTGGACTAAAACATGGATTTTAAATCAATCTGGAAAGATTGAATGGAGTTTCGATGTAAATGGCGTTAAAATCAGAAAATTGATCTGAATTCTAAACCCCAGAAACATTATTTTTTTACATGCCTGCCAGAATTTCCGATTTTTAATCAAAAGTTTAAGAAAGGCAGACAAATAATGATTTTTTTCTAACACCATGAAATATTGAACTTTGGTGCGAGCCTGAAAAAACTGCGATCTTGTCGATTTTATAAGTGGGGGATATGAATTGAGTTAGATAGATATTCATTTTGGTTCACGCTCTGGAAATTTGGATTGTTGATTGAGTTTACAAAGGGCAGACAAGTGTTGACTTTCTGAGGTTTTTTTTTATCATGGGTTTTGTTTGCAAATAGGGGTTACCCGCCCTTGATTGGTGAAAATACATTTAGTCGTCTGCTGGATTATTTTTGATTAAAAAATTTAAGAAATCATGTTTTAATGGGGTTGTAAAGAGGTTTTCGATCCTTTTTATTAGTGTATTTGATGGTTTAGGCTTCATTCCATTTTTCACCAGATGTCTGTGATTTCTGTGATTAAAGAAATACATTCTTTGCCATAAGCTTTGTCATAAAATGCCAAGTTTTAGTGGAATTGCAGGAACCACCAAGGGCAAATTGATGCTATCAGTGTCCCCTGATACACATTAAGTTAAAAAAAAACTATAAAAAATTATTTTTTTTGTGTAAGTAGAAAAGATTTGCAAATACAAATGATGGATTTTTCAGACATTTGCAAAAAAAAATATGACGTTTTGCCATTTAGAAGATAATCTTGAAAATCGGATAAAAATAATTTGTCATTTTTAAACCAGTCTCATAATCACGACAATTTTCAGAAAATTTATATTTTTCTGGTATGAACCCAATTTCATGTAAATTTGTTCTGCGAGGCTATCATTTGCTGCGGCATGATATATCATTTACTGCGAGTCTGACTCGGAAATCATGCCTTATTGAATTATCTTGTAGAAGCAATTTGAAATTCACATTTATCAAATTCTCAAGATTCAATTTTTATTTTTTGAATTTGTTCATCATTTATCATCCAAGATGTTTAAAAATTTTCTAGAGTCATGGAATTCAAAGCTCAATTTTTGAAAAAAATATTGGAAATTTCCATCGTTTTTAAGAATTGTGGCAAATGTCAAATGTCAAACATTTTACATTTTTTAAACACTTTATATATAGCCCCTATAAAACAGGTTCATTGATTGATTACCAAGCATTTAGGCAAGGTCATCTCATACATTTTTCCTGCATTTTTGTGAAATAAACAAGGGGTTTTATGAAATTTAAACTTTTTGCATATATACACAACAGAACTAATGAAACAAAGTTCTTTAATATAAGTTGGAAAGCATTTAGGCAAGGTTACATTTCATTACATGAAAACATTCTATGAACAGATTATTTGAAAATCAACTTATTGCATATACATTAACATTTACCTCACAAGTTCATAGATATTGATTACCAAGCATTTAGGCAAGGTAAATTAATAAATCAGACCTTATCTGATCAGAGAAAAAGTGCCAGTGTATAAGTACAGATCTTTGAAGCATCCATTTTCAAAAGGTAGACTTTGAATAAATTTCCTGAGCTTGGATGATTAATGTGTGTTATTTTTATTTTTCAGTATATTGGTACCCTGGATGTGCCCAGACCGAGTAGTCGAGTTGAAATCGTGGCTGCTATGAGAAGAATCAGGGTAAGTAACTCTGCTTGCTTTCAACAATGCTTGCTTACTCACCTGAAGGTTCAAAAATAAAAAAACAGAGTCTAGTTGTTCGGATGGGACAATAAAACAAGGCCACTTGTGCCACAGACTGGGGGTAGAAATGAAATGAAATGAATGGAGTTTTACACCTTACTTTTCTGCACCATGTGGGCTAATGAAGATGGCAGACTAGAGATAATACCACTTTTGTAACTCGATTTTTCCCTGTCAGCCATGCAGGGCAGAGGAGGCTGACATTGAAAAAGCTGTTTGGATGGGATAATAAACCGAGGACCCTTGTGCCACAGGCTGGTATTCGCGGAGGGTTGGGTTGGAGTTAGACGTTTACTCACTAACCTGAAGATCTACGGTTCAATCCTGGCATAGGTCAAGATAATACCTTTGGGGTTTTTTTTTCAACCGAGATTCCCCTGTGCAGAAAAGTAAGAAGTAAAACTTCCTGCATTTTCTTTTAACTCTAGAAAAACCTGTAACTAAGGAAGCCATTTTGTTTTTTAATACCTCAAGATTTTTATAACAGACATAAACATTGTATTCATTGCAATCTACGAATGAAAACTTTACTGTGAGATATTTTGAGAAGAACGATGTCTGGTGTTCAAAAGTGGTGCCAAGTTTCTCAATTCTAAGACATGTTAAAACTTTTGTCTGGTTACGTTTTTTACTTCAAGATTTTTCTGTGAAACTTTGTGATAAATGTTGGTTTGGTAGAGTCAGAAAAACTCTAGCGGTTTTCAGTCTGATCTCTGGATGTCTGTAATAGTTGTTGGGCCTGGTAGAGTTAGAAAAACTAGTTTGGTAGTTGAAACGACCACTTTTGACAGGATCACAACTTAGGTTCACAAGGATTCTGTCTACCAGACTGTCCCAGGCCAAACCCCTTGGCATTGATCTTTTCTGGATTATCTCTATCCCTTACCAAATGAAATTAGAACCCATAACCACCATTTATTCACAGAAAATGGCTTCGAATTCATAAGCTTTTAGCTAAAAAGAAATACCCAAATTACTATAGAATACAGGAATATCTACAAAAAACAAAAACTGTGGCCTACTATTGCAACCCTACATTCATATATGGCTATTGATTAGTGTTTCTGACTCTAGCATATCTCCATCTATCAAAAAGAATCACTTGCTAAGTAAAAACAAGAGTTGGCAAGAAGTTGAAGATATGAGAATTTATTGCAGAGTTGATTAGATTAAAAACAGACTCTGTACATTGTTAAATTTAATTTACGACTTTTAACTTGTTTTTCCTTTCATCTGTTGCCTCAATGAGTTAACTGGTTGCTAGGGGGCGCAGTTTTCAGTTGCACAAGATACATTTCAAATGGAGGAGGAAGGGTTGATAAGGAGTATATGACACGTAACACTGTCTTGTAGTTTTGATGAGGCATTGAATTGCTTGTACCCCCAATCGCTCCCCTACTTCATTTCTTCTACAGCTGCCCCTCAATCTCGGAAGGCTGGCATTAAATATTCTATAGATTCCTCTCTCCTGATGTTGAGTGTCGGTGAGTGCTCATTGCTTATATTTAGAGCAGATTACAAAATTGTCTGTAGCCCTTTCTTAAATCAATTACACATGATCAAGAGTCATATTCAATAGATTTCTCCCTCTTGTCCACAAGTGTTGGGAGCCGCGGTGGCTCAGTGAGTTAGTTGCTTGCTCGCTAACCTGAAAGTCCATGGTTCAATCCTGGCACAGGTTGAGATAATACCTTCGTATTTTTGAACACAGTTTCCCCCTGTCAGTGATGTAGGTAAGAGGGGCGGACATTGAAAAAGCGTCGAGTCATTCGGATGGGACAATAAACCGAGGCCCTGTGTGCTACAAACTGGGCATGTTAAAGATCCCTCAACAGTTGGAAATCGAAAAAAGAGCAGGCTGATTTGGATATCCTGGCAAAATTTCCCTCATTGCACACTGTAGTCTTCATTAGCCCAGGCAGGTGCTGAAATGTAGGATGTAAAATTCCATTCATTCCATATTTGTTTCTTGCAAAAAACATGTTTCAAGGTAACAAGAAACCAGACTGTGTGTTGAAGAGCGAAGACCATCTTGGCTTTGTTTATTTTTCTAACTAATTAGAGTTGCATGTTGAACATCAGAGCTGGTTTTATCTTGGTAGATATTTCTGTCTTACTGGATCAATTATCTTATGAGGCAGACGTATATTTTATGGAGCTGTAAAACAATTTTATAGATCTACTCTATATTTTGGCCAAGATTTTTATGAATCCTATCATTAGATTTTTGCCAGAGCTAAGCTCTATATTCAGTCACCTTTTGGTTCACATTTTTATTGTTGAACATCAGATCAATTTTTATGAACATAAGGCGTTTTTGTCGGCCGATTTGATTTGGTTTTCGATTTGCTGTTATGGTTTGGTGCAATGTCGATTATATCAGAAGTGGTCTACAAATGCGAAACTTGATATCGGCGATTAGGCAATATGGCTGCGTCCACTGACAACAAAAGAAAGTCATCAATTTTGATTATTATTTTTATTATTGTTGAACTTCCACATGCAGCCATCTTTAAAAAGTCTAATCTAATCGCCTAACCACCTCCTGGGATTATGTGGAACCAAAGGGAGGGGCAGAGGGGGCAGCCACCCCCCTTGGACATAAACCTGGCTCAGCTTAATCAATTTAAGTAAACTTTCTCACAATTGTATATTGTTTAACCAAAACTTCATGGCTCACAAATACACAAAATAGCAGATCTTTCAAATGGAATTGGCCTATAAAAACGCCTTTAGTACATATTTCTTTCAGATCAATTTTTTCTTGCGAGGCAGACACAATATTTATAGTTATATACAACCATGTTAAAACTTAGACGTTAAATAGATATAATAAAAAAAAAATTTGTGAGAAGTATACAGGGTGGGTCGGGAACCGGAAGCAGTACTATTATTTTTTTTGGCCTAAGCTTGTTTTGTTTTAATTTTTGATAATGATTATTATCAATTAGGAACTCAATGATAGTAACTTTAAAAGAGGTGTGGTTGGTGGATGGGTGGTGGGTTTGGTCTACGTCTCAAATCAGTGGCCGTTGATCTGAAACTAAACAATGCCGTAAATATCAAAAAATATTGAATTTAATATATCCCAAGTTTCATTGCTGTGCCATAACTTCAGAGTAAGCCTACAAACTTTTTAGCCCACCCTTGTACAGAGCTGTCCCACTTGAGGGAATAATGTAGAACATTGGCGCTCATTATTCCAATTTGATAGCAAAAACAACTGCAGTGAGGTCTTCATATATCATATTAGACTCCCTGCTGTCTTGGTGGACTGTTTTCTATATTAATATCATTGAAATACAATCATTCTATAACCACCCTAGGTGAATATTGGATTTTCTAGCCTTGCATATCTTAGTTGCAATAAGTGATTATGTTTTTGTGCTATTTTGAATATTATCTTTATCTAAACTAAGATATGAGTCTCAAATATATCTGGGCCTTGTGGGATACAGATTATCCTGTTGGATGTATTGTTGTCCTGGCAACATTTCCTTCATTGCACACTGAATGGCATTTCCCATCCTCTTTAGTTTAGAAAACTAAGGCCTAAAGCCATATCCTTATTTGACGCTTGCTCGCTAATCTGAAGGCCCAGGGTTCAATTCCGGCATAGGTGGAGATGATACCTTCGGATTTTTCAACCCGGTTTCCCCCTGTCAGTGATGTAGGTACGAGGGGCTGACATGGAAAAAGCGTCTAGTTGTTCGGATGGGACAATAAAGCGAGGCCCCATGTGCTACAGGCTGTGCATGTTAAAAATTCCCTAGACAGTTGGAAATCGAAAAAGAGCAGGCTAATGCAGCTATCCTGAAAAAATTTCCTGTTGCCCGTCTTTATTAGCCCACATGGTGCATTTCATTTTCATTTTCAAATTCTGGCAGATTCACAAGTTTGGGTCTTAACAGTTGCAAATTGATAGGCTGGTACTTCTGTCCTGGCAAAATTCCCTCATTACACACTGAAGTGCATCTTAAGTCTTAAGTCTAATCAGGTGTAGAAAAAGAAGTGCGCAAAGCTTCATTTTCATCTGGCATTTTTTTCAACTTTCATGTCCTTGGTGATTATGTAGATTCTGCTTAATATATCTTTTCTTTTGGCTGATTTACAAGTTTTGGTCTCAATTGGCTTAAGAGTTATAAATTTTAATATATCCCTTTGACACTTTCTCATTTCTCATGTGATATTTGGCGCCTAAATAGTGTCTTGCATGCAATCTTGGAATACATTCCATATTCTGGTTCCGTTCCATTGTTTTCTGAAAATTTAATCAAGAGTCAAAGAATTAGGACATGTTTTGAAACAATGGCTTCTGGAAGGCAAACAATAGCCGCTGCAAGGAAAACAATGGCTGTTTGTTTGGAGAGGATATGCAAAACAATGGCCGCCAGCACGACACACAGGATTGATATGCCTCCAAGACAATGGTTGATTGTCGTGCTTTATTTGCATTAATCAAAATTTTCATTATTATTTTATAATATTTGTAAAAAATATGATAGTTTATTATGTGGTGTGTTTGGAATGTGAAGCCATTAATCAGAGTGGCTAATAGAAAAATAAAATTCTATTAGGAAAGTAGGTTTCAGATTGCAGGTTGATATAAGTTAGCTCAATAAGTATGCCATTGATTGCATTGTAGGTGAACATGAAGTCAGATTTTTATTCTGAAAAGTGTTTTGTATGGCTAAATTTGAACAAATGGCTAGATTTCTATCAGAAAAGTGGTTTTCAGATTGCAGGTTGATATAAGTTAGCTCATTAAGTATGTTATTGATTGAATTGTAGATGAATGTTAACTGCAAGTTTGAATATGACAAGTATTATGTATAGGTAAATTTGAGCTCACCGGGCAAATGGAAAAACCAAAATACAGATCAGTTGGCTAGATTTCTATTAGGAAAGTAGGTTTCATAGTGCAGGTTGATATAAGTTACCTCAATAAGTATGCTATTGATTGAATCGTAGATGAACATGAAGTCAGATTTTGAATATATCAAGTGTTATGTATAGCTAAATTTGAGCTCCCTTAGCAACTGGAAAAGCCAATCTATATGAATTAAGCACTCAATACATAAGCTTCCAGACACTGTTTCCAACAGCACTTCACCAAAACTTCACAAGTTTAAATTCATGATAAATTGTAGATGAACTGGGTCTCAGATTTTTTATTTTGAAAAGTAATATAGATAGCTATCAACTAGTGAAAGCAGAGACTGTAGAGTTCTACAACAGGCTGCAATTGATGTAGAGTTTGTTAAATTTTCCTCATTGCATACTGCATGGCATGGCATTGCCTATTTTCAAGAGCTCAATCAAGTGCAGAAAAGTCCACTCATTCGTTTCGTTTCGTTTCGTTTCATACTTAGAAGACTATACGTCTTTACATAGTTGAGTTAATTACAGCAAGAGAAATTGAAGAATAATTTGATTACCGTATTCTTTTTTTTTCACGTTTTTTAAAAGGGAATACAGCTTTGATGAGAATTTTAAAGAAAATGGAGTTCATTAAGGCACTCAACCAATAAAAATTTCAAGATTTATTGAGACGACAAAAAACGCAGGAGGCGTAATAGACATCACTTCTGATTAGAATTGCGACGTTAATTTGAAAGATGACATCATTAGTGGTTTTTCTTTAATTAGGCAGGATGTTTGAAGTGTCAATCAATATCTCACTAACCAATCAAATTAAGCCAAGGTCACATGTCAGTGTAATACAGTGTCAGTATGACATGTGTTTGATTAAGTTATTATTAAGCGATTACTAGAATGACTTCTGTTATTTGCTTTGTTCTTTGAATCTTTTACATGGCATCGGGCATGAGTTTAAAGGGATTGTAAAGAGGTTTTCTGAATTTTGTATGTGTATCGGGGACACTGATAGCTTCAATTTGCGCTATTCCAATTTTCATTCCGACGTCTGTGGTTCTTGAAATTCCACTAAAACTGACTGTTGTATGTGATGCTATAAAACACTTAGTTTCAGTTGAATTGCAGGAACCACAGACATCTGATTGAATATTGGAATGGTGCAAATTGATGATATCAGTGTCCTCAATACACATACAAAATTTAGAAAACCTCTTTACAATCCCTTTAAAACATATGTCGAAGACACTGGCTATGGAAATATCATCTTTATGTTTTAGGAATTGAAGAGCTTCAGAAGAAACAAATCTCTTTGAGGTTTTGATTAAATCGAAAATCAGACTCTTCCCATTTAGTTATTCGTAGCAGCCTTCCCAAAATGGCTGTACCTTCTAACAAATTTTGGTTCAGACATGGACCTTTGACATTTCAAGCTTGCTTGACTTTTTCTTGAAATCTTCAAACAAGGTTCCTTTATATCTGCTTCTGAATTTCTCCCATTTTGTTTACAGTATGAATTTAAAGCCAAGGCAATCAAGAAAAAGAAAGTTACTCTCACAGTTTCTACTGATGGAGTTAAAGTCCAGATACGCAAGAAGAAAAAGGTAGGCAATTACATTTTTTACACTGGACCCCCATCTCTTTTCTTAAATGCTTGAAAGGGATATATATGATTTATCAACTGATGGAGCTGAATGACAGCCATCTGTAACACTTTTCATAATTCAAATTAACATAGGGTTCTTCTACAATTCAATTCATTAATTGAATTTTTTATTCTGAAGTGCATGACTGATACAAGGAAACTGAGCTTTATCTATCTGTCTTGAACGATCTGGCATGTAATTATGCTTAGCTTTTAGTAAGCAGCCATGTTTTTACACGATCCAATGTACAGTACTCATAAGTGATTTTGGACCATCTCTATTTTCTAAGTTTTAAATGGCTATTTTTCAGAAGAATTTGACGTCGTTCGATGAGAGTAGATTGTTGATAATGACTCATGCCATTTATAGGTAAGTTTACTTTGGTCTTTAGAGGATCCGCAATGATTTATCAATGAAATTAATATAGCTATGTTTCACCTCTTGTCCATCTATCATGGAAGTCCATGTCCTGTTTTACATTTCAAAAATTTTATTCTCAAAGCTTTCTGGCTCATCTTGAGAAGGTGGGCTCGGAATAGTTCTCATCATTGACTCGTCATTGATATTAGGTTTTAAAAGAGATACTCTCATAAAGAAGCACTGGCCAAGACCACAAATAGAGACTGGTGTATTGAAATGTTCCTTTAATCTCATTGGATATCTAAAATGTTGATGTGTGATAGGCCTACTTGTTGTTCTAAAAGCCTAAGTTAACTATATCGGTGAATCGATGTATCGCGATATGCTACGATACGCGTATTGTATCGCAACGTTGTGTATCGATACTTGACAGTACCTATCATCCTGTAAAAAAGTGGAGATTTTTATAAGTTGGTTTATGATATAACAATTGTTTTTCACTGAAATTGTTGGTAACTATTTATAAGACAATGGACGCTAACCACTTCTATCAACTAAATATCATAGTTATAAAGTTATGAATTAATATATATAGAAACTTTTACTTTTTTCCATTACCCAATATGACGATATGTATTTTGACGCTTGTATTGCAATACGTATTGTATCGTGACCCTTGTATTGCAATACGTATTGTATCGTGACCCTTGTATTGCAATACGTATTGTATTGTGACCCTTGTATTGCAATATGTATTGTATCGTGACCCTTGTATTGCAATACATATTGTATCGTGACCCTTGTATTGCAATACGTATTGTATTGTGACCCTTGTATTGCAATACGTATTGTATTGTGACCCTTGTATTGCAATACGTATTGTATCGTGACCCTTGTATTGCAATACGTATTGTATCGTGATCCTTGTATCGCAATACGTATTGTATCGTGCCATGGCTGACGATACCCAGCACTACTACGTTTGGAACTTAAGGAATTCCTGTCCTTAAAGATGATGGTCCCAGATAATGAGGCTCAACAATCCCAACATTACATGACAGTTCGTAGTCAAGGAGACAACCAATTAGCAATTAGATGACTCAATTATATACTTTATCAACGCTAATTTATCGTCAAGGGGGACAACTTGAGAAACAATGAGACAGATTTGACATCTGATTATGAAAAATGTGCTGCCTCTTTAAAAAGGTGAAGGAAAGTTTGATGTCTCTCATGTGCACAAAATAATTTGCCATTGTAATTATCGTCAAGGGGGACAACTGGAGTAGATTTGACGTCTGATCTCAACAAAATGGCAATAAATTTGTGATAGTTTTAACATTTGTCAAGGGAGAGATCTGGAGGTCTAATTAGGAAAATGATGTCACTTCAAAAAGAGGATACCATTTTGAATGGTGTCTGCTACGTGCAAATACGTCAACATTTTAATTGATGTCAAGGGGGACAACTGGAGTAGCAATGAGGCGGATCGACATCTGATTATTCAAATCATATAATTATGTCACTTCAAAGAGACTGAGAAATTTGAATGACGTCTGCTATGTGCAATAATGATGAAAGAAATATTGGAGCATTTTAAGTTTGGAATAACACAGAAGCAGATTTGACGTCTGATTATTAAAAGTAGAAATACGCTGTCACTTCAAAAGACAGACAAATTTGAATGGAGTCTACTATGGGTCATAATATTTTCATCTGACATTAAAGGGACAGAGGTGCCATTTCAGGGTGTTGATTTTAGTCTTGAATATTTGTAAAAAGTCTTCAGAATACTAGAAATGTACACAAATTTCATAATTCCTTCAAAAATTTCTCAAACTAGGATTTATTTCCCATTTCTATAGATGTCTTTTCTATATATCACAGTGTCTCAAAAAAAGACGAGTCATCTTTTTAACTTTTTAACGCGCATAATTCTGGACACACATGGTTTTGAAGGCTCAAATTTCGATGGTGAGCTATAAACACTATTACTGATTGACTTAGCTAAAAAAAATTTCCTGTTTCTAAGACTAAAGTATGATTGGTCAAAAAAGTGGCGCAGCTGTCCTTTCAAGGGGAATAACTGGTGAAACGACCAAATTTGGTCAGAAAAGATTTAGGTTTAACAATTTTGTTGACGAGTTCCGAAATTAGGTCGAAAGAATTTATTGGTTGACAGAATATTTCCTGATAGTTTCCAGAAGTCTGAGAATGATTCTTAATTCCATTAGTAGAAGTAGACAAAAAGCAGACGGACTGGAAATTGGCGGCTTGGTCTTTGATATTCAGTGGGTCAAAAATAGTTGACAAGATCTGGGAGGCAAATGTCGATCAAATTGAGCGCCATAAGGTCTGGAATTTCATTTCTGGACTAAATTTGCAAAATTCTGCTGTAAGGGAATATAGTTGTGTTGGAATTGTTTCAGAAAAATTTTTATCTTTTATAGTTATTATTTAACAATAGAAAAAAAAATCTTTTTGTACAAAAATTGCCATTTCCGAGGTGTTTTTTCATTGACTTCGGGGGTTGATTTGAGTCTTGAATATATGTAAATAGTCTTCAGAAGTACTAGAAATGTAGGAAGAAGATCGTATAATTCCTTCAAAAATACTTCAAACTAGAAATTTCACTTTCTATTTCTATATATCACAGAGTATCTTAAATTGACGAGTCGTCATTTTAACATTCAAACGCAGATAATTCTAGACACACATGGATTTGAAAGCTCAAATTTTGACAGTGAGCTGTGATCACTATTACTGATTGTCTTAGCTAAAAAATTAATGTTTCTGAGACTAAAGTATGATTGTTCAAAAGAATACCGCATCTGTCCCTTTAAAGCAAAATCCACTTCTTGCAATTATTTAAAACATCTTCAAACTCAAACTCAAATTACCAAAATTCTGATTTTTTTTAAAGGCATTTGTGGTAGTAATTGGTCCAAATAGCCATCCAGTTTTAGTAGAATTTACTATTGACCTAATTCCGTAAGAAACTGACCCAATTCCTGAAAGTGTAAGTCATTGACATTCTGCGAGAAGAGACAGTCGGAATCAGATGCAGAAGTTGAATGGTTGGCATCATTCCCAGGCAGAATCATCTTGTCATTCCTGCGACTGAACAAAAGAATAATTTACACTCAATAGTCATTTCCATATGCTTGTTGGACATTTTGTCTCGCTGGTTTTTGAATGATGATATGATTTGGCAATACTTGATAACCCAGCAGACTGCTTGGCTCCTCGTCCAGAAAATGAATTTTTATTTAAAATGTGCTTACTTAATGCCACAAGAATGAATTCAACCTTTTACCTCAGCCCTAATAATAGGGCCCCTCTAAATCCCCCCCTCTACCCATCTTCCCCTTATATATGTTGTCTCCCTGGTTTGAATGATGATATGATTTGACTATATCTCATAGCCCAGCAGACTGCTTGTCTCCTTGCCCATAAGATATCTTGATATTAGGCATTTTTCAATAGTTAATTGCATATTTATGGATAATTACTAAGTTTTTTGGATTTATCGGATTATATAAGGATCCTGTTATGTTATATATGACACCAGGTATAACCTCTGATGAATATATACTCTTATTGGCCAAGTTTAAAATTCTTAAATTTTATGTTCATTCTAAAACGTAGTATCCCTTTAAAATGAAAAATACACATTATTTTCTTTGACTCAGAATATTCTGCATCAGAAAATAGCAATTTGTTTTGGAATGAACAAAAAATGTCGCTAGCAATTCTATTTGGCGTGAAATTATTATTTTGACAAGGCGTCTAATTATAACGAGAGAAGCTAATTAGATATTGTTTGATGCTCGTTTGTTTTTAAATGGTAAAAATGAAAATATGAGAATCAAATTGGATCAATTTTCAGGAATCTTTGACATTTCTGCCAGCAACAGCTGCAACTTCTAACTTGTTGAAGATTTAGAAATTATGAAGAGTCACGTTGCTGAAAAAATTTGAATCATTGGCCAATTTCTACGGTGGCTCACATACGACATATTTCACTTTTAATTTTGAATTAAAAACATTAATTTTCACTCCTAGGTGAAAATCAATCATCACCTAGGTGGAAATTAAACTTTAATTTTCACCTCGAAAAAAAAGTTTTTAATTCAAAATTCTTGAATTATCATCTTGGTGAAAATAATTAAAGTTTTTAATTCAAAATTAATTTTCACTTAATTCCTTCAAAAATATTTCAAAGTAAGAATTTCACTTTCTATTTCTATGGCAGACTCTCAAGAAAAGACGGGTAAACATTTGAATTTTCCAACACGTGTATTTGAAGGCTGTGATCTGTGAACACTATGACTGATTAGCGCAGCTAAAAAAAATCCTGTTTCTGATACTAAGGTATGATTGGTCAAACGAATAACGAACATATCCTACAATTCCTTCTTAAATAGAAATTCTAAATAGCTTCAAGAAATCAACACAAAATAATTTCGACAATGGACCACAATTTTCCCAGTGGAATTTAAAAAACTGTTTTTGACAAAACAGAAGAAAAGTAACGAAGAAGTTTGAATTGTAAATTTTCAACATTAATAACAATTGGATCAATAATGGTGAAAGTTGATTTGAAAAAAAACAGAAAATGTTATTTTTGTCTGCATATTTTAGCAGTTTTTTGTTGGAAATTTTTAAATGGAATATTCTGATATGATCTGAGGAACTTTCATTTACATATTTATGAATAATGGCCGCCATTTTCTTGTGATGTTCAAGTATGCATCAATGAACAGAGACTGATGAACATCAAAGTTTAAATGTTGAAAATTAAACTGGAGATTAGTCAACTGATTACTTTTATTAAAATCAAATCTGGATATTTGTTTTGTGTTTTTTCTTAGGGTGACTCCACTTGCTATCCATAATCTGACAACATTCTTGGGCATCTTTTGTTCTGGGTCTTTTAGTCTTCGACCAATCCAATGTGGTGTTCAGTAAATGATTTTGTTTGTGTTTTAAGACATTCATTCTTAAACATTGACTTATTTTGTCTTTTTGATTTTAACAGTGATTTGATTGGTTAGCTTAAGTTTTGAGTCAAAATTCCACAGAACACGATTTAAAGAACAATCATGTTAGATCATGGATGGCAGTAGTAAAATAAAATACAGAGAAACGAAACCAAGCATCTAGAATTTCATTATAATTCGATCGACCCAGACTTGAATTTTTCAGCAAATTTGCTAGTAATGTTTGACTTGATCCTAAAAGTGCTCAGAAAGTATCTCAAAATATAATTCAATAGAAAAATAATCAGTAGCATTTCTGCTACTATTACTGATCTCTAAAACTACTCGAAAAGTAACGTGTAAAATAAGATCATGGATTATATAAAATCAGAATTAGTTTAAAATTAGTTATTGGCAAAAATATTTTGAAAAAAAATGCACATTTACAAATTCTGAGTGAAACCCTCGCGGGAATTTTACGGTTATAATTTCATGAACTCATGCTAATGAAAAGTCAATATTTTGCCGAAGAGAAAATCGCGGCAAGTTATAACCTTTCTTGCCATCCTAATTATTATCTTACCACGCGCATTAACATGTACACGATAAGCAAATATGAAGTTGTTGATTCAGAAATTAGCGTAACAATATTTTCCGCTTGCGTAAAGATGGCCGACGTTGTTGACATAACAATTGATGTAATGAACTCATCACTTTAGCTAACGAGTTTGTCGGTTGAACAGGCTATCATCAAATACTCCTAACAATTCTACCTTAATTTGAGGAGATCTCAAACAAATTGAATTTTGATATTGAATAACCTAGAGGACTACTTTTTACCGGGTGTAAGGATACTTGTTGAAATTGAGTTAATTCTAATTCTAGATTTTGATGAAATGTGAACTAGTTTTAAAAGAAATTTTATTGAACTTTTGAAATTTTAGTTGGATGTCCCAGTTTCATGTTTTTTACTCGTGATTTGAATAATACTTTTGATCAGGGGTGTAACTAGAAAATACACGATGGGTAGGGGGGTGCAAAAATGAGGTGTCCCTCTTAGGCGAGAACCGAGGGGTCAAAGCCCCTGTAACCCAAAGGTCTTGGGGCTGTCAGAGTCTCTCAGAAGCCAACAGATGTCAGATGGCCTCGGTTGAATTTTGAACATTGAGAGGGCTTATTTTCACTTTAAATTCAAATCTTTCACTGGGGGTTGTGGGGGAAGGGGGGGGTGGAGTCATGGCCCAAATACGCCCCTATTTTTGATAGGTATATGTTGTCAAAACTGGCAAAACATTGGTAGCAGCTAATGATCTTCTCACATGAGGAAGTATATCAATCATAAGTGAGTCAATATTTCATAATAAAAAGTGGTATCAGGTGTCTAGAAGAGTAAGCATACAATATACTCAAATAATAAATTGTTTTTAAAATAAGACTTTTATCTTTGTAACAATTTCAAGCAAGATTTCAGGTACTTCAGGTTGTTATAAAAGAAAGCAGGAAGAAAGATAGCCAGGGCATCATATAGAGACATTGTCTGTTGTTTTAAGATAAGACTAGACTGGGGATTATATACATGGTGTAAGAACTCTCCACATGGCAATAAAAATATTCCTTAGCTTTGATGTTTAGTGATGTACAGAAATTCAACATGAATGTTATCTTTCAGACCAACAGACATTCAAGTTGGATTGTCCTTCATTTATAAGTTTTTCCTTTAGAATTCAGATAATTCAAGTTGAATTGCTCTTCTTTTTTTCAATGTATCCCAAGCTCGACTTCAGAGATATTCAAGTTGCATTGCCCTCTTTTTCTCAATGTATTCCAAGCCCGACTTCAGATATCATTCAATTTAAGTTGGATTGCCCCTTTTATTTCTGGATTTCAAGCTCGACTTCAGAGATATTCAAGTTGGATTGCCCCTTTTTTTTTTCACTGGATTTCAAGCTCGACTTCAGAGATCTTTCAAGTTGGATTGCCCTTCTTTTATAAGTTTTTCCTTAAGACTTCAGATACATTCAAGTAGGATTTTCCCTTTTTTATAAAATAATCTAACATGGATTTAAGTTCTCCTTCAGACATTCAAGGTGGATTGCCCCTTTTTTTCATAAAAAAGGACTTGACATGGAACCTAAGATTTACTTCAGAATTACAGATATTTAAGTTGGATTGCCCCTTTTTTTGTTAAAAATCGGAAATGGATTAAAAGTTTTCCTTCAGACTGAAATGATATATTTTCAATGGAAAATAAAAGTAAATTCTACACAAAATTAGAATGTTTTGAAGGGACTTTTTGATCAAAGCTACCATTTTTCCCACCTTCGAGCCAAAATTGACATAACATCTTTGACAGGTCATGTTTTATATGATGGTTAATCGAAGAAAAACTGCCAAGGGGAGAAAAATATAACTCATTTTAAGTGGTTTGGCAAATTATAACCTAATCAAAACAGGTCTTTAATCTGGCTCTCAGATAAAATACTTCCTGAGAATTACTTCCCTTTAATAGTCTGATGTACAAAAGAAAAGAATTTGCTGCCCGGAGGAAAATTTTTATGGTCTCTTAAAGGGATTGTAAAGAGGTTTTCTAAACTTTGCAAGTGTATCAGGGACACTGATAATATTGATTTGTACCATTCCAATTTTCAGACGTCTGTAGTTCCTGAAATTTAACTTAAAGTAAGCGTTTGTAGGAGTGACATCATAAAACACTTAGTTTTAGTGTAATTACAGGAACAACAGACGTCTGATTGAAATGTGGAATATTGCTAATTGATGCTATCAGTATCCCCGATACACATAAAAAATTTTAAAAACCTCTTGTCAATCCCTTTAATTGTTTGTCGAAATCAAGTCATTAAGAAAATTTAGGCCTATATTCCAATGAAGAAGCTTATAGTATTTTATCTGAATCCTTTTCTGCATTCTAAGACTACTGGAGACGTGCACTATCACTCAGTGTGCAATGAGGGAAATTTTGCAAAGACATCAGTACCTACAAATCCCACGAATATAATCTTTTGTAAGATGTAGATCAAATTCAAATATGTAATTGGTGTAATATATGACTTGGAGATGAAATGTAAAATGGTGATGTCCTAAATTATAACTGTTTAAACAAGAAACTGACTCAGTCTGCTAATGTCAATATTGTTTCGCTCTTTATTACTTGATGTTCAAGACTAGCTGGAAATGTTTATTAAAGAAATGTCTTGAAGATCAAGGCTGCGTAATTGTTACTTTTGGGGTTGTTTCTTTTATTGAATTTACCAGTCATGTAGGCCAATGGCCTCTGCTAGTTGGGAAATCCAATTGTAGAGTGGCAACAAGTCTTTGTAAAGTGAAGGCATCAAACATTAAGACACATGTCCTGGGGGCTTATGCTAGTGGGATTGTAAAGAGATTTTCTAAATTTTTTATGCGTATCGGAGACACTGATAGCATCAGTTTCCACCAATCAAATTTTCAATCAGACGTCTGTGGTTCCTGCAATTCTACTAAAACTAAGTGTTTTATGATGTCACCCCCACAAAATTTGCTTGTATCACATAAGACCTTTGCAGGGGTGATGTCATAAAACACTTAGTTAAAGTAGAATTGTAGAACCATAGACGTCTGATTGAAAATTTGATTGGTGCAAATTGATGCTGTCCCAGATACACATTAGATTTAGGAAAACCTCTTTACAATCTATGTAAAGGTTGTTTTTTAATTGAATTTACCAGTCATGTACGGTCTACTGCAGCTGACAAAACGCAAGCGTAGAGTGGTATCAAGTGTCATGTTTCTTAGTTACAATTTAAGGATCTTGTTTACTGCGCATTTTCTTGATATTTACAAATCATGTGTGTACTCTCTTCAGGTTTGTGTGGTTGAAAGTATCTTGTTGACAACTCAATTGCACAGTGATAACAGGTGCTTATAAAGTGTAAGCACCAAGACGCCCTTATTATGGATACTCTCGAAGTTTGTCAAAGATTTAAACTGACTTAACTAGTGGGAGGTCATTCTGCAGTAAAAGTGTCCATTAAACAAAATATAAAATCAATCAAATTTAAGATTGAAATTTAAATCTGAGAGGCTACAAAGTCAAGATCACGTCTGCACCACACATTTTTTAGTTAATGTAAATATGTACTTGGATCATTAATCAATTTTCCAATATCCAAGGCCAGAAAAGAAAAGAACACACCACTCGAGTTAACTTGAGTCCACAAAACATGTCACAAGTCTTCTAATTAAGCATGTTCCTGATAATTTCCAGACTATTGCTTCCAAATTAAACATGTTCCAGGAACTTGTGAAGGTTTCGGTGCCACAATATTAAATTGTTCTTTGCTGGAGTTGAAATTGAAGATGAAAAAAAAGATATAAATGTCTTTACTTCATTTGTTTAACTAAATATCACATTTTTGTCCAACTCATGTTTGCAATTTGTAAATTGTTATTTTGGCCAGCTAGAGTCAGTAAAACTAGTTGAACCTTTTTCTCTCTTTCTCTCATTGAGACAGGTTAGAGTCAGCAACTTCAGGCAACTAGATCAGGGCTGTTGATATAATTTTTTGGCCAGTCACATGTTTAATGATGTGTGGTTTCACACCACAAACTTCCTGTAGATTTGACAGAAGTCAGAAAAGATGATACACTATATAAACTCTCTAAGTATAGAAGGGAGATAACTACAAACTTATATTTCATTTCATATTTCTCCTTTGAATTGCTTTGCTTCAGTGGAATTTCTCTTGTCATTTACATTCATTCATTCATTCATTCATTTATTTTGCCCTTCATTGCCATTCTGATTCTTATACCCCTTTATGTATTCATTCATTCATTCTTCTATTACAAGCATTCACATAATCATTCATTCATTCATTTATTCCATCTGTCTATTTCCAGGATATTCTATGTGTCTCATGACTCCCAGGATTTAAAGATCTGGAGCTATATAGCTAGAGATGGTCCTAGTAACGTATTTAAATGTAATGTTTTCAAGGCATATAAAAAGGTAAGGAGAAAGTTTATTTTATATTCTCTGGGATGACTTGGGGATTCAGTAAGCCAAACTTGTACAAGACTGAAGTATATTCACAAAATAGTGCTCATGTTTTAGTTTCGTGGAATGACATGGAAAATCAAGTCTATATTTGCAGAAGGCTGTGCACATTTATGGGGTTGTAAAGAGGTTTTTGTGCTTCTTTTTGTGTATTGGGGTCATTTATGGCTTCTATTTATAGCATTCTAATTTTCTGTCAGATGTCTGTGGTTCCTGTAATTATGGAAATGTTTAACAATTTATGACGCCACTATCGCAAATGCTGCCAAAAATATCTAATGGTCTTTAAGAAAGCTATGTCAGAAAATGCTTAGTTTTATGAGAATTGCAGACTCACAGATGCCTGATTGAAAATTGGAATGGTGCAAATATCCATGCTATTCGTTTTTCAATGCATATAAAAGTGTCAATGGCCAGCAATCTTGGAAATATAAATTTCATAAGATGTAAAACTCCATTCATTTAAAAAATTATGGACATATGTTTTCATTTTACCTAATTGAATCCTGAAAGTGATTTAAGAATTTTCCAAATTGGATATCCAACTGGTTCCACATTTTTTATGGTTTTGAGGAATTCTTCAGACAGATTTTTCAAAATTCTATCATTTCTTTCTTGTCATAATCCATTCATCTTAATAATCAAAAACACATTTGAAAATATGTTGATTGTACATCTGTTTTCATTGATGAAAAATGTACCAAAATAAACAACATAAGCCATGTGAACTCTCTGAAATGGTTCCAAGAGAATGAAAGCATGAATGAATGAATGAATGAATGAATGAATGAATGAATGAATGAATGAATGAATGTGAATGAATGAATGTGTGAATGAATGAATGAATGTTAATACTGAGCCTACAGGTTTTTCACATTTTGATAAAAAACAACACAAACACAAATTTCAATTACAATATCAATTCAGACATGACTGGTAAATAAAGTCAGATCAAAATCCCTGATTAACCATCTGCAAAACAAAGCCAATAGTTACATAGTAGCTACCTACATAAAAACACAGTTGTCCAAGTTTGTCCTTAACAGTTAGATGTGGCTGGCAAATTAGGTCACATCAAAATCCCTTCTTTATATACTTCGTAACATTGTTGTCGCCTACATACAAATACAAAAAAATATCTAAAAAAAAATAGTTATCCAAATTTTTTTCCTTAAAAATGGTAAAACCAGGTGCGGCACTTCACCTTTGACCTTTCTGTCAATGAAATTATTTTGATGTTTTTGTTTTTAGTGTGATGTTTATTTTTGTCTGTCAAAGTTGCTGATATTTACTGGTATTTACTGGTATTTATGTTGTTTTATCAGATATCAGGTTCTGGCTTTAAAATTATTATTTACAACACTTAAACATGGGGAGTCCTTTTACAACTGGCATCATATTTCTTTCAAATGATGAGGCTTTTTTCAGTGTTTCATTTTTTATTTTTTCTGTGGGTTATTACATTTGCAATCCATGATCTGACATATTTTTCTTTAAATCGTGTTAAAACAACATTTAAACATGGGGAGTCTTTTTACACCTGCTATTATATCTCTTACAAATGATGAAACTTTTTCCAGTGTTTCATTGTATATTTTTTCTTACAGTCCATGATCTGACAATTTTTTCTGTAAATCGTGTTAAAACAACAATTTAACATAGGGAGTTCCTTATACATATTTCTTTCAAATGATTACTTCGCCATGAATAGGCCTGGTGGCTATTGCAATAATTTGTTTTGTATTCTTCTGTGGGTTATAACACTTGCAGTCAATGATCTGACAAATTTTTCTTTAAATTGTGTTCTGTAGAATTTTGAGTTGACTGTATTTGCTGTGCAAAGAAATTTGATTGAAATTCAGGCTTTGATTGGCTGTAATCACTGGCATAAATCAAATAGCTGCACTCCGCGATACAAGAATAATGACTATTGCAGTCAAGGTATTAGTATGAATTTCATTGTGAAGATGTATATCGCTAAGCAAAAATATCTGATTTAAATCCAAATCACTTAAATGTTTCAATTTATAAAAACTTCAATATTACATTTCGAAAAATCTGTTCGTAATTAAATCAAACAGAATTGAAAACAGCCATGTTTAGTCTAAATTTCAGTAGAAAATATAAAATCTCATCATTGTTTGGTCTATAGTTATAAGATATTGTTTATGAGAAGGAAATGATGTAATAATCAAATCTCGGTTACCATGGCAACCATTTTGATAAAATTATTTTCACTGATTCACCTGAATTTAATGTAAGAAAAGATAATGATTTTGATAAATTTTGGTCAAATTTCACTTTTTATCAATTTTCTGAAGACGTACACCTGCAATATTTTGAAATTTATCGTTTTCATACCTGATTTGTCATAGAGGGTTAAGTTATTTTGTGTCAAAACAAGATTTATTTGATAAAGGTCAAGGTTTATATGGTGCTCAAGGTGCTTCGAGGGATACTGTAGCACTGATGGTTTGAGGGTTGAAAACCTTACATGACATCATTTGCTTGGTTATGTCAAACAAATGATGGTTGTAGGATGTGGGTTCTAATCTCGGTCAGATGCTTTGAGGAGTTCTGTAGCACTGTTGGTTAGAGTGATGAAAACATGACATCATTTGCTTGGTTATGCCAAACTAATGGTGGTCTTGGGTACTAATCTTGGTCAGGGTATGTGAAAGTCTGGTGAGTTTGAATAAGTCATCTTTCATTTTTCCAGTCGACCCAGCTGTAAATGGGTACAGATAATCCAGGAAAGATAAATTCCAAGAGTTTTAACCAAGGACCAGCTGGTAGAAAGGATCCTGGTGAACCTTAAGTTTTTATCCATGTACTGCCACTTTAAGTGCCATATTTTTCTGAAAATTGTTACCTTGAAAGAGCCAGGTGTTGAATAGGGTAACCTGATATTGGACCAATCAGAATCAAGACGTCTGCCTGATAAAAACCTGTGTAGTTTGGTTCATTACCAATCTTATGATAAAATCTGAACACCAGGTTATCATGGTTTATCTTAAAACATGGATTTGCCAAGTTTGATTTACATTAGCTTGAAAAGAAATCAAGAACGGCTGGAAGGGGGTGGGAGGGGGGGGTGCTTTGGCTGTATTAAAAGTTAACTGTCTAAATAACCCTATTGCTAAAAAAAATTGTCGTAGGTGTAAAATTTTACATTGAGAAATACCAGACTTAAAACAGATTGCTCTAAAGATTTTGTGTTAAACTGGAATTTATATTTTGATTCTGATTAGTGACACAGTTGGCTGAAATCAAACTCGATAAATTTGTCAGACAACTCAAGACAGTTTTAAAACTTATGGTGTATAGCATTACTGTTTGGCTGTTCATTTTAAAGATCCCTCGACAGTTGGAAATCATAAAGAGTAGGCTAATGCTGTTGTCCTAGCAAAATTTCCCTCATTGTACACTGCATGGTGTTACAAGTTCTCAATCACCCAATGTGCAGAAAAATAGGACATAAAACTCAATTTCATTTCCAATGACCCAGCAGACGACAGATTTAGGTCTGATTGATATTAAACTAAACCACCCACAGTATTATGATATAAAAGAAGGTGACCAAGTGTAAAAATTAGATTGATGGCGTCTGCTACTGAAAGTTTTAATTATATTCAGACATCTGGCTTATATTTATTGTTTCGTTACCTCATTGCTTCTGATCAAGGTTGGGATGAACTTGGTTGTTTGGTGGATGGGTTCGAATTGGTTGATTAAGTGCAAATGCTAAAAACATACCCTGCAGATCAGGGCTGTTGATTCATTTTTTGTCAGTCGGACATTTTTCAACGACCTGTGAAATTTGATCTCGATTTAACCTTGAAATGAAATGAATGGAGTTTTACGTCCCACTTTCGATTTCACCTTGAGAGAAGGTCTATTATATCATAGCCCACCGATATCTGCAGTGCAGATGATAGTTTTTGTAACAACATTTTTATTATAAATTCATGGTGTATGCTTAAAGAGACTTGTTTGCTTTTCTTCAGGGTTGATTTGAGACTTGAATATATGTACATAAGTACTAGAAATGTTCGAAAATCACATAATTCCTTCAAAAATTTCGCCAACAAGAAATTTCACGTTCTATTTCTATATACATGTATATGTATTACAAGAAAATATCAAAAAATGATTAACAGACAAAAATTTGAACTTCACTGGTAGCTAACCTAAAGGTCCAGAGTTCAATCGCGGCATAGGTCGAGGTAATACCTTCGGATTTTTCAACCCGGCTTACCCCCCTGTCAGTGATGTAGGTAAGAGGGGCTGACATGGAAAAAGCGTCTAGTCGTTAGGATTGGACAATAAACCGAGGCCCTGTGTGCTACAGACTGTGCACATTAAAGATCCCTCGACAGTTGGAAATCGAAATAGAGCAGGCTTATGCCGCTGTCTGGCAAAATTTCCCTTATTATACCCTGCATGGCATTGCCCTTCTTCATTAGCCCACATGGTGCAGAAAAGTAGGACGTAAAACTCCATTCATTTCATTTCGTTTCTTGACCTTTGAGAGTATACTTAAGTTATATTCTCTTTGATACCAAATAATATCTACTAGTATGTTATTATAACAGTATTATAGTTTCAGGGTACTAGATACCACTATCTGATTTCTTTTAGAGTTAGTTAATGGTTATCAACTAGGCTATACTGATCTTGTTTTGATATCTAAGATCAAAGGTTTTATACAGATGTTAGTTTTAGATCTGAGAATTGGCAGAATAGCTTTCAGACAATAGAATTTTCTGGGAAATTTCAAAATTTAATGTTTTATATGTTTTTGGCCCCAAAATGTATCAGAATGCACCAAATCAATTATTTTTTAATGAAATTTCCGTGGGGAGAATCTATTTGTACCATTCATGTGACACCTGCCTCAATGGCCCGTCCACACTTCTGAATTTGGAATCTCCCAGACATTGGTCCTGCCACTGAAAATAGAAAAAAACATTTACTATCAGTCAAATGTGGCCGGTTTGTTTGACTTGGCAGTATATGGTCTTAGTTTTATATGTATATAAGTTATCGAAATAAGAGTATGTACTATAAAAACCAGTCTTGTGAAGTTTATCTTGTAACTCACTGTGATTAAGATATGTTATTTTACCTGTCTGAGACCATATTGGACTAGCGTAGGACTGAATCGGTGTTAAACAGTCATATAATAGTTCTATACCAGTAATCACTGTGATTTAGATATGTTATTTTACCTGTCTGAGACCATATTGGACTAGCGTAGGACTGAATCGGTGTTAAACAGTCTTATAATATTTCTATACCAATACTCACTGTGATTTAGATATGTTATTTCACCTGTCTGAGACCATATTGGACTAGCATAGGACTGAATCGGTGTTAAACAGTTTTATAATAGTTCTATATCGGTACTCACAGAGATTTAAGTATGTTATTTTACCTGTCTGAAACCATATTTGACTAGCGTGGAACTGAATCAGTGTTAAACAGTCTTAGTTCTATAACAGAACTTAACTTGGAATTGGTTTAGTGCCACATGGTTTTGTATAGTCTGATAGTGCCTCTAGAGTTAACTATTGGACTAATGCAGATATTTTTACCTGTGAATGGAAAAACTTTACAAACTTCTGATATATTTATGACTTTGAAGGCTATGGTCGTGTAAATTATGGTGTTGATCGATTCTGGAATTTTTACTTTGGTGTTGGAAAACTTTCTTAGTTTAGTAGATCTTGATATCTTCTGGTATTGAAAAAATTGTGGTCTTGGATTTTCATCTGATATGAAAAGTGTGCCAGTCAATTGTGGATCAAAATGATCATTTTCAGGAATATTTTTTTAACTTGGAACTTTTGAAGTTAAAGTTTTGTTTTTTAGTTCCACTCAACTTTTGATTATAGAAATCAAATCTAAAGGCAGTTCATGATTGTTTGATAAGTTTTAAATTGTGTAAAAATAACAAAATGTTGGCTAAATACAGAAAGAACTCAAAGAGTAAAAAGGTAATTGGTGGTGCCTAAAATTTATTCATGGATTGATATCTCATAATTTATTTGATTTACTTTATCTAAAGGCTTGACAAATATGTTTTGACAACAAAATGTAAAACAACCATATTATATTGCCTAAAATCTGTTCTGATATAACACATTAGCCATACTCTTAGATTGCAATTACCTTACCTATATGCTCAATAAATGTTATAAGTACACTTTTTTGATTATTACTGTATTATTCATAAAAATGTTGATGTTGTCTGTCAAAATCAGCCTTGCTCTTCAAAGATTATTACCGGTATAGCATTCTGACCATACAAAACTACCATAGTAAAGCATAGTAAGGCATAGTAAAGCATAGTAACCTAGCTATGCGGACATAATTTCCTCGAAAATAAAATATCATATAAGACCTAACCATTTTGAATTTGTATTTTCAGAGTCAGGCTATGAGAATAGTAAGAACTATAGGGCAAGCGTTTGAAGTCTGTCACAAGTTAAATATACACAATGCTGGACCTAATGATGGTTTAGAGGATAGATTTGATGATGAAAAATTCTCTAACAAAGGTAAATGTTTTGAGTAAATGTCACGTCATGAATATTTAATAGCCTGTACGCGCATCTAAGATGTGTGGGACTGTTTTATGAATTGCAGGGTTGCAAATGGGCGTGCCAAATGCAGGAGAAGATGACTTATTGGATAAAAACATACGTTCAACAAATGTTGTTGATTTATGACCAGCCTTTAAAAGGAACCCTGAAATTCTCATGAATCTAGCACAAGATGTGTGGCCCATTGTGGGATAGGGTTTTTAGATGTCTGTGATATTCTCAAATATTCAGTTGTATTAATTCTGTAGCCACTATATAGGATAAACCAGTAGGAATTGCTCAGTCAGTAGAGCTTTAGATTGTAGGCAATTAGGTGACGCAGGTTCTCATCCTTATTAAAAGTAACATAAGTGCTTCTAAAAGTTTGCCTAGTATTGTCTTTCAACTGCTATAGCTAAAATTAATCTTTTTTTAATCATAATTTTCCAGAAAAAGAATTAGAAGACAAAGAAAACAAACAGAAAGATGGAGAGGTGGAGAAAGAAACAAAAGCCACACCTCCATCAGACTTGGCCCTGGTCAAATCAACACAACAACAACAACAACAACAGCAACAACAACCAACAGCCAGAAACAGTTTATCGTCACCGCTTGGATCACCGGTGATGCTCGGTGAATATGATGACAAACCACAGTATCCATTGAGCTCACATCACCAGATGCAGTTGCTACGGCAACAACTTGAGCAGCAACAGCACCAGACGCAGGTAGCCATTGCTCAAGTTCATCTGCTGAAAGACCAGTTGGCTGCTGAAACTGCTGCTAGGATTGAAGCACAAGTAAGTCTGGTTTTTAGGTCACTGGGAAAATTGTTTAGATGTGGTCTAGCTTTTTTCAGTATTCCGGCAATTCATGCCTTCTATTTGCCTCATTCTAATTTTCAATTCGATGTCTGTGACTTCTGTAATTAAAAAAATGCTTTCATTTACCTTGTTAATGGTGTAAATTTAGTCTCCTTATTAAATTTTTTTCTAGGCACGTGCGCATCAGTTATTATTACATAATCGTGATCTGTTAGATCATGTGACCCAGCTAGTAGGGAGAGTGAAGAATTTAGAATTGAAGATGACTGGCATTTCATCATCTTCATCAACTGATGTTTTTCATACCCCACCACAGGTAGGTTGGCACCCTCTTCTTTCTAATGAACTCTTCCACTCATACATTTTTTCTACCAATAAGAATCTATATATGTATGATTGGAAGAGCTCATTTGTAAAATGTGCATGTTAAAGATCTTCTGAAATCAACTTCCTTTGACAGGTGGAAAGCATATGAGAAGAGGGTAGGGTAAAGTCTTGGCAAATTTTCCCTCAGCGCTCACTGCATGGCTTTGCTAATCTTTAATAGTCCAATCAGTTCCAGAAAAGTATGAAGTAACACTCATTCATTTTTCCATTTTGTAGTTTGTACCTTCGCTACCAGACCCAACTACACCCAGATGTGGACCAGTTCACCTTCCATCAATGAGGGACATGGACAACTCCTATCTTACTTCCATATCAAATAGTTCCACTTTCGAAAACACCAAAGCTGCATTGGAGGCGGATTCACCCGACAGCGGACATCGTGAAATGTCCTCAGAAAGTCTTTCGTTCAATTTATCAAATTCTGATAGCAGTGGATGGAACCCTGCCTACAATCCCGGCAACGATGGCGTAGTACTGCGTAGGAATATCAATGCTAATCCATTTTCAAGCTCATTCAATAGCGTGAATTACGATAGTAAAGAGTCCAAGGAGAAGACGAAAATTATCACTACGCCAATCAAAGAAGGAAAGGGGAGCCAATCGGATTACAACATAAGCTCGAAACCTAACAAACTAGATCCTCCGCCATCTTACAAAAGGCTGCATCGCCTTTCCCAAAATGGAGGCATCGTCAACGGACATTATATGGATGGACAGAATCACATCATGACAGATAGTGATTACTACTCCACCTACAACAGTAGTCATAGCAACGGCAGTTCAATGCACCACTCTGATTTAAGATCCAGTTACTCTGACAACAGGGACAATAACTCTAAAAACAATAACCGTCATCCACTGGACGTTCACGTCAACGATTTGAGTGCTAATAATTCGCACATGAAGCATGCCGAGTGGAACTCGCGAATTAGCTACACTTCTGATGAAAATAGTGATAACTCGGATGACTCTAATGGCCAATCAAATAGGGCCTCTCGTAGACTTGATTCAATGACTCTTGATGAATTTGAAGCTTTGGGAAGTTAAGATATAGTGGATGGCTGAACTTGATTGGTATGGGGCTGAAATTTTGATGAGTGATCATGAGTATATTTTTTTTTATCTCTGAACCTTTCTGGATGTTTATGCATTAGAATATTTTCTAAAACTTGATATTTTTGTGAAAAATTTTCCTGAGTGATTTTTGTGCCAAATTGTCAGTACATGTATTTTATAATGGTGGCAAGTTGTGGATTTGATATTTTTTCAAGGCATTATTTAATTTGAAATTATTTATGTGTAAAGACATCATTTTGCAAATCTAGCGAACAGATTAGAAAGTGCTTACTCTTCATTAAAACTTGATGGAGGAATTTTGTGTTAAACAAGGCCTAAAACATCTTCAATGATCCAAGATAGGATTTTTGTGTTTTGTATTTTGTGATACATTTTTGGGTGTTTTCATTTGAATAGCACTTTATTACATTTTCTTTTTCCAACTAGCTATTAGTGGTAGAATTTTAAAAAAATGGCTTTGCAGTCACCTAAAGATTATTGACCAAATGAAAATTGAAATAATTTTTTCATAATCTAAAAGTGCTATTTAAATTAATCATTAAAAAACCTTTAAGCGCTAGTGACCGAAAATTTGCGGTCAAGGGTCAAGTGGTCATTCTCATACACATATTCCCTAATATAATCAGAATTAAATGGTGGAAAGAGAGTTAAACATGATTCTAAAAAAGAGCTTTTGTTCTCAACTAACTGTGCAATATTGTTTAACGTTTTTGCTTTCATTTAAGAAATTTATCAAAAATCTGTTAAATAATGGAACACAATTTTAGGGTAGGCCTACATCCCCCGACGCTTAATTTTATTGTACATAATGTTTCTACAATTTACATTGTCATCATCAGTTTATATGGATTGTTGAAATGTTGTGTACAATAAAACTCAGGCCCTGTATTCTCGAAACAATTTAGCGCTAGGATGTCCTAGGTCTTATCTTCTAACATTGATTCTAGACATACTAACGCTAAGATAGTTTCGAGAATACAGGGCCAGGAGTAGTTTAACATAAGAATGGTGTTTCATTATTTAATGTGATCTCTAGCCCAATTTTTGTGATGCCAACATCCAAAAGACATAGCAAAACAGTAGCATTATTACATATTATTCTCTAAATTTCTTAAATTAAAAAATGTTTATTTGTATTTTTGTTATCACATATTATGAGTGCTAAGCTTTTGTATTTGTATCAAATGCTTTTTTTGTTTGTTTGTTTGTTTACTGCTTTTTTTTTCTTGTTTTGTTATTTTTTTACTGCTCAAATGAGCTCAAAGACATGTACCATATTGAAGTTATTACAAGGCATTTGAAAAATCACGAACAGTCCACTTTATTTTGAGGTAGTTTAGGTTGTGAACACAGACATTTATCTGCATGCAACATAAATCATAATGGATCAGGATCAGTCTACTTTCTTTTAAGGTAAAGTAGGTAGTAATGTACACAATAGAAGTATAAGTTTTAAACTTTGTGTATTTGGAACAGTCGACTTTAATAGAGGTAGTTTAAGTAGTAATGAACAGGATAAGCTTACAAGCATATCTTGTATAGTTTCAATCACTATTTATTCTACCTCTAAACAAAATAGACTGCTCTTGTGCATGTTTTGAAACATCTCTTATGGAACAGTCCACATTATTTTGAGATAGTTTAAGCAGGAATGAACTCATTGTATAGTTTCAATCACTACTTATTTTACCTCCTGAAAATATGGACTGCTCTTGTTTATCTTCTCTGGAACAGTTTACATTTAAGGTAGTTTAAGTAGTAATATACATAATTTAAGCTTGACTGAATGACTACTTATTATACCTCCAAAACGAAATAGGCTGCTCCTCTAATTTTGCTGCAAACTTTGGTGGACGTTTTGGAACTGCAATGATATTGCCAGTAGGCCTATATTTTTTCCTAAATTCTAATGATATAATGAACCATAGACGTATATAATGCGTTGTTTAACTATAAGCTATTTATTTATTTATGTCTAAATAATTGTAAATAGATTTTTCCCTTTTTCAATTTTTAATTGTTGCTTTCCCAGGATTAATGCCATAAGTAGGCCTTCGGTCAATTTATTGACTGTTCTAGGGGTTCCAGGTAGGAAGAATCACTTCTTCTTCTGAGAACCCTTATAAAAGAGGTTGGGAGAAAGGTAGGAAGAGTCAATTATGCCTTTGTAGCAGGACGAGTCCATTTCTTGAGACAAAATGCATGTTCATTTTAACCGTTGGGCGAGTCCATTTTCAAAGTGGACGAGTCCATCATGAGATCATGTAGGACGAGTCAATTTTTATCTTTTGGACGAGTCCATTTCAGTCGTAATCAATGCATTTTCAAACATGAAAATGGACTCTCCCATTTCAGTCGAAAACAATGCATTTTCAAACATGAAAATGGACTCGTCCATTTCAATTTGGAAGAGTCCATATTTAATATGGACGAGTCCATTTTGAGTGGAAAATGGACTTGTCCATTTCAGTCGAAAACAATGCATTTTCAAATATGAAAATGGACTCGTCCATTTCACTTTGGAAGAGTCCATTATAAGGGGAAAATGGACGAGTCCATTATAAGGGGAAAATGGACGAGTCCATTATAAGGGGAAAATGGACGAGACCATTAAAAAAAAAGTACTGGACGAACAATGCATTTCCAAACATGAAAATGGACTCGTCCATTTCAGTCGAAAGCAATGTATTTTCAATCATGAAAATGGACTCGTCCATTTCAATATTTGGAAGGGTCCATTTTAACATGGACGAGTCAATTTCAATTTGGAAGAGTCCATATTTAATATGGACGAGTCCATTATGAGTAGAAAATGGACTCGTCCATTTCAGTCGAAAACAATGCATTTTCAAACATGAAAATGGACTCGTCCATTTCAATTTGGAAGAGTCCATTTTACATATGGACGAGTCCATTAAAAAATGTACTGGACGAGTCCATTTCAGTCGAAAGCAATGTATTTTCAAACATGAAAATGGACTCGTCCATTTCAATTTTTGGAACGGTCCATTTACAATATGGACTCGTCCATTTCATATTTAATATGGACGAGTCCATTGTGTGTGGAAAATGGACTCGTCCATTTCAGTCGAAAACAATGCATTTTCAAACATGAAAATGGACTCGTCCATTTCAATTTGGAAGAGTCCATTAAAAAATGTACTGGACGAGTCCATTTCAGTCGAAAGTAATGTATTTTCAAACATGAAAATGGATTCGTCCATTTCAATTTTGGAACGGTCCATTTACAATATGGACTCGTCCATTTCAATTTCATATTTACTATGGACGAGTCCATTATGAGTGGAAAATGGACCATTTTTTATCTTTTGGACGAGTTCATTTCAGTAGAAATGCATTTTCAAACATGAAATTGGAAGTCCATTTTGAATTAGGAAGAGTCCATTTACACTGTGGACGAGTCCATTAAGAGGGGAGAATTGAGGACGAGTCCATTTCATCTTAAAGATGAGTCCATTTTCAGAGGAAAAAAAACATTTTCAAACAAGCAAATGAAAGTCGATTTCGATTTTGGAAGAGTCCATTTTCGTCAGAGGTGAATGTAGGATGAGTCCATTATCAAGAATGAGGGTTGAGGTTTTAAAACATGTCGAAATTGGTAGAGGCAAGTTTCATTCTTATTATACTGTTAAATTATGGACTCCTACCAAACACCCCCATAATGGATTCATCCAGAATTAAAATGGTCTGTTCCAAAGCTGAGGTTGGAGAGTAAAATTAAGAGTCCTCTCCCCAGTCTCCTCATGAACAGGACTTATCCATTTTAAAATCTACTTCAGTATTTGTCAAAACTGTTGGCTTGACAAAAAAACTCTTCCCCAGACAGTACCCAAATTCTAGCCCCATCAACAGCAAAATCCCTCACAATTTATCTATATTTATTCCCACTTTGTGAATAAAAAACAACCACAATATATACAATTCTGAATGAAAATGCAACACAAATGTGACAAACACTTCTAACAAAACAAGCGAGCTTTTGGTAGCAGAGCTTAATTCTACACTCAAATATATTGTGAGCTTCTTGGTAATAATCAGCTTAAAAATTTTGTCATTGATTTCTAAACACTCTATTTTTCATACTAAAAAAATGCATATGCATTTGATGAAATGTCGTCTAAATAGCTTTGAATATATATTACTCTAGATCGATGTATTAAGCGCTATTTTAATAGTGAAAATATTTTATAATTGAAACATATAGTATGTATAAGATAACACACGTGTACGCCTAAAAACCAACTTCTTGCAAAATGGGTAATGTTACAATTAAATGAAAATGGCTCGAGATGTTTTGATGTGCAACAATGTCTACTTAAAGCTTGAATAATAACAATATAAAACTTGTTTGATGAATAATGTTACATAAAAGCAATTAACAGATTCTTAGTACCTCTGAACACAAAGTATATGTTTTGCAAATTAAATATAAGCGTTATTCAAAGCATACAAATGTGTTAGTGTGCTTGGCAAACATATCTAAATTTAAAAAAACGACAGAACATTTTCAAGACATGCTATTGGTCAATTAAAGTATAAGTGTTATTTAAAGCGTACAATTTGCGTTAATGGGCTTGGCCCGGCAATTACTTATAAATTCAAAATAACACCTGAATATTTTCAAGAAATGCCATTGGTCAATGTCAAATATACTGGCCAATCAGAATTCTTATGAGGGAAAACAAACTCATGAATATAATGAATATTTATTAAAGGGATTGTAAAAAGGTTTTCTAAAATTTGTATCTGTATCAGGGACACTGATAGCATCAATTTGCACCATTCCAAGTTTTAATCAGACATCTGTGGTTCCTGCAATTCCACTAAAACCTAGTGTTCTATTTGACATCATCAAAGACTTATTTTTGTTGAATTGCAGGAACCACAGACATCTGACTAGAAATTGGAATGGTGCAAATTGATGCTATCAGTGTCCCTGTTATACATAAAAAAATTAGAAAACTCTTCAGAATCCCTTTAAGTATGCATGATCACATCTATTAACAAAGCTAATTAATTATGCGCATATTTTATAAATAACTTGAATGTAATGATAATGAATGTCAAAATATACATATTAATTTATAATAAAAGTATTAATAAATATTACTCAACATCATTGTGAAGTCTCCAAAATAGGACATATTAGTGAAATCAAAGGTATATAATTATGTGTTATTTTGGGGTATAAGAATTTTTTTCTCTGCATTGGAATTCAAATTTTTAAGTCGGTTTTGCTACAAATATTTTTCGGAAAGCTTAGCTCAAAATTTAACGAGTTACCTTAACAAGAAAAGTGTGGAATACCACAAATATAGCCTATAAACTACGCATCCAACCAGTCAAATCCACAAATCTAATCAAATAAGTATACCCATTTTCATACGTCATATTTCCAACAAAACAAAAATATAGGCGTTTAATTCTTCCACAAAGCCAAGGCATTCCTACATGCATCTGCCTTAAGGCACAGAATGGAATCAAATATCATAGTTATATATCATATATTTTTTCTTGCCTTAGCGCACTTATCTATGACACTTACAGCTTTTATTTGCACAAAATTCTACATATAGTCTGCAGTAGCTGCAATACCTTGACCAGCTTTGATGGAATTAGCTAATAAGCTTATTCAGATTTATTTTTAGAATTACAGGAACTACAGATGCAAATGGAAAGTTCTGGTGAATCCCTTTCATAAAGGTAAGAAACAATGACACCCCTCAAAATTATATGAACTATTCCACATACACTTTTTTCCTCTTCATGCTCATGCATTATAAGCAAATGGAAAAGTTCATTATTAATTTGAGGGGTGTTCAGTAACAGACAACTGTCTATGTGCATATCCTGGATGAATTCAAAATATAAACAAGAACAGTCCACTGCATTTTTAAGGTAGTTCAAGTAATAATGAATACAATATAAGACTGACTTATTTAGATTCAATTACTAATTATTCTACCTAAACAGAAAGTGGACTGGTCTAATTTATGTATTGAGATATCTCCTCTTGTGCATGAATATCTTCGCTGTTTGGATTTACTTAAAGATGCCCTCACACCATAGGAAGTACCAGTTGGTAAGGTTGCGAATTATGGAAGTAGCTATGAGTTTCAATAAACTCACCAGTTCTGTGATTTGCCACTTTGCTTATACACAACCAAATGCATCTGGTGATCGCTGTGGTAGGTCATCTTTAATATTGTTTACAAATAATCACACAAATATCAGATTTTTACATTACATTTGTTCATCAAGCAGAATCTACATCAAAATATACAACAACATAGACCAAATTTCTTGGTGTGAATGCCAACTCGCTATGTATCTTGCATTTTAAATATATGGGTTCTTTTAGGGCTAAACATCTTTTCAATTGAGTTTATTTTTGTCAAAGATTTAGTATGTGTTTCAAAGGGTCAGATGTGACATTTTGGGGGGTGGGGGGGAGTTATTTGGGTATTAAATGTATGTCATAGTCCTCTAAAAATGACGCACCTGTCCCTTTAAAGGGACTGATTCCATAAAAATCAGACAATTTTTGTCATAAATGTAACTCAAGTCCCTAAGAACTGGCACCTATGTCTACAAGTCTAAGAAGGTTCCAGGAATCTCTATACAATATTAATTTCTATACATAACAATTAAAACTATATGCAAATTAATTAATTAACAAAAATATATAAATACAAACTCTTTTCTAGTCCCTCGTTACCATATATGGAGGTGCCATATAACTGTTGAAGGATGCATTTATCAGGCTTTTAAATAAGAGCAAGGGGAGGTAAAAGGGACTGTAAAGAGGTTTTCTAAACTGTATGTGTATATCCAGGTCAGATAGCATCAATTTGCACCATTCCAATTTTCATTCCGACGTCTGGTTCTTGCAATTCAATTAAAAACTTTTGAAAACCTCTTTACAATCTCTTTATTAATTCCATACTGCGGTTTAAAAGCATAATAATCTTTTCTGTTCTACATGCGACCATTATGCCTGGACAAGACAACTAAAAAACCCCCCTATTTCCTCAAATGAACACATCATGAACTCTTGGTTACCATACGTTATAGGCCTACTGTTACCTTGACATAATGCATGTGAGGAAGAGTCCATTAAATGCTTTAGGGGTGCCAAAAAGCAGTCTGATTTGAAAAGGAACCAATCCAACAAGCACAACACCATAACATTCATTGAAATAATGCATGAGTAGAAGAGTTCATTATAAGGTTAAGGGGTGTCAAATAGATGATGGTCAATTTTGAAAAGGAACCATTCCAAACATACATAACACCATAACAGATTGATATTACGCATGTGTGGAAGAGCTCATTCAGAGGTTAAGGGGGGGTCAAATAGATGATTGTCAAATTTTGAAAATGGACCATTCCAAACATACATAAAAACTATTACAAATTGATTGACATTATGCATGTATGGAAGAGTTCATTAAAAGGTTAAGGGGTGCTGGTCAAATATATTCAATCTAGCATGAATGTATGATGGTCACAAATTCAATCAAGATGGTCACAAATTTAATCAAGATGGCCTAAATTTAATCAAGCTGGTCACTCCAGAATTGGTTTCTCATCCAAATAAATTTCCAACATGATCATGATAAATAAATCTCAGCAGCATTTCAGGACATTTTTTCTATCACATTTAATTTCATGGTATCCAAAAGTCTCCATATATGGCTTGCATAAGTTTCATCACACTAAAATTATGTCCCACTGTTAAAGTCAATCCTTCAAAATCCTCAAAAAAATCTCCTCTGGTATTAATCGACTTTAACTACGCTATAGATTTTACTCACAAACCAGAAACAGGCAAAGAAACCAATTGAACCTGAAAAATAGAAGAGTAGGATTAAAGGGAGATAACACAAATCTGTTCAAAATGACTAGTCAATTTAAGAGTTAGAATATGATGTCATTTGGCTCTTTATATCAAACAAATGGTGGTCATTGATTCTTATCTAAATCGGCATGTGAAAGTCTGGAGAACTTGAATAAACCATCTTTCTGCATTATTCAAGTCAATCCAGATGTGACTGGGTACAGATAATCCAGAGAAAAATCAATGCCAAGAGGTTTGGCCAAGGACTAGCATGCAGACAGGCCAATCTAAAACTGAAGCTGTTTTCCTTGGGAGATAAATGAAGGGGTGCTTTCACTGGCTAAAATTTGGGGGTGGGGGGTAAATTGAAGTAAGCATCAATACAAGCTTGGAATTTTTGAAATTTAAAAATAAAAGAGGCCTTCTAGTAGCTGCCATTGCCTCAAACCAATAATACTTACCAGTTAGCAAGAAGAATAAGATAACTATAATGGTAGTATAACCAAAATACAAGAAGATGCTAGCAGCTCCAGTCATCTCCAGTTTGGACACAAAGAAATGGACACAGTAGATGAAGAAATATACAGCTGTAAATCCTGAAGTTAGAAACGATCTCCACCACCAATGATAATCCTGAAATATCAATCAAATTGTCATATGAGGAGGGGTTGTAGCACAGTTAGTTAGAATGTTGGAATTTATACTTGACATCATTTGCATGGTAACATCATACAAATGGTGGTAGACACTTCTAACTATCAAATTGTCATATGAGGAGGGGTTGTAGCACAGTTAGTTAGAGTGTTGGAATCTATCTATGACATCATTTGCTTGGTAACATGGTGGTAGGGGGTTCTAATTATCAAACTTGCATATGAGGAGGGGTTGTAGCACAGTTATTTAAAGCTTTCGAATCTGAACATGAAGTGACATGTATCAGATAAAAACTGTAGTCTAAGTCGTGCCTACAAGCCAAATTTGGGGAATTTTTACTACATCAAGGGCGAAAACTATGAAACCATTCATCAGATTATTATCAATTTTGATCTTGACCGAGATCTCACCAATGCATACCAAGTTTCAGCCTCTATTGTCTGCAAGAGTGTGGACGGACCGACGGGCAGGGGCAACGACAATATCGTCCACATTGCGTATAAAAATGATTGTTAATTTTTTCTTTTAAAGAAAAGTAGCCTGTTGGCTTACCTCAGCACAAAGATGAAAGTAACAGAGAAGGACAGTAGCTTCAGAACAAGTTAACACTAAGATCAGGAATACCAGTAATAAGAAACCAAACATATAGTACGTCTGATGAGACCTACAATTCAAAATGGTGGAAATTAATTATACAGTTCAGCATCATCGAGCAGAGATATATTTGCCGACGACAGAAAGATTGTAAACAAAGAAGCCATATTGTTAAGTCTTTCGGTCCAAGGCTCTGATTGGATGTTTTGACTATCTTAGAATCAGATCAATTCATAACATGATACAAGAAAAGTGGCTATTGCAGTCAAGGTATAAGGAGTTACTTATAGCTTGACATTGTGAAGATAGCTGTCCTGATGAGGATTGTGTGTTCAAAACATGTCGGCAGCATCAGATGAACTGTAGTCAATTAAAACCCAGCAAAACAGAAAAGAAAAACTCACCAAATACTGTTCAAGATGAAGAAAAGTTGAATGAAAATACAACCAAATGGTAAAACTCCTCCCATGACAATTCCTGGTATAGGTTTCGTGTAAAATGATTGGTCAGGAATCTGTCTTGGAATTTGGTTTGTTCTAACTGGATGTTCAATTGGCTGAAATTAAAAATTGAATTATAAACTAGTTTTGGTTTCATGCAAAATGATTGGTTATTAAGGAAACTGGCAAAAGAATAAACATTTTCAGAAAGGTGCAGAGAAACCTCTAGAATAAATCAACCATATGCCGTGTGCAATGAGGAAATCTACTCAGGGCCTTGGTTTATTGTCCCTCCCAAAGGACAAGCTTTTTCCATGTAAAACCTATGCTGGGATTGAACCTGGGACCTTCTCTGAAACACCATGGCTCCCTATTTAAAAAACAAGCTCAACCTGAAGCTATATCGGTTCATTAAGGCTAAAATTGAAAAAAAAACCTACCCGTTTCTTGAATCCAAAGTAGGCACCAACAAAGGTTAAAGGAACTGAGATACACATCCACAAGGCTAACAGAGCTACTAGTGTAGAGAATGGAATAGCAGCACTACTCCCTTTAATCCATAATAATAAATTTAACACAAAAAATATTCCAAATATCACTCTGTAAAAAAAAATAAATAAATGAAACATTTAAAAAGTTAAAATAGAAGTCTACCATCCATATATTTCCAATATTTATCTGAGGATTTCCAATATTTATCTGAGGATTTCCAATATTTATCTGAGGATTTCCAATATTTATCTGAGGATTTCTAATATTTATCCATGGGTTAACAATATTTATAAGAAAATTTCCAATATCTATCTGAAAATTTCCAATTTAACAAAACTTACCCTGGACACAAGAAGGCTGTAAGTAAAACATTGGATTTCCATTTCTCTCCACCAAACACTGAAATAAACAAGGTTTTTTCATGAAAATAACAATTTCAGGCAACATGTAGAGCATTCCAATTTGCAGAAAAAATTGTTCCATCTAATCAAAATGGAAAATTTTAATCTGCAGAATGAACAAGACAGACCACTGAAAGATTCTTGAAATGAAAAGTATTTGATGTTCACAAAATAAATTAAGAAAAAAGTACTTACTTTTATAAATTCTAGCAGAAACAAAACCAGCTGGTGTTCCTAGACAAACATATAATACCTGAAAATATATAGAGGTAATATATTGATTGATATTAATATAGTTAAATCGATACATTGCTGAATGATATATTATGAAATACACATCTTCCTTCATATGGTTGTATATTCATACTCTTTCCACTTACTGTTGAAAGGAAAGGGTCTGACTTTTTACTTTCTTTCTGGTGTTGTTTGAGAATAGGTTACAAAAGCAGAACTTTATATCTTTGGCAAAGGTTCAATAGAAAGCAAATGATTTAAATTTGACTTACCAAGGCACATGTCATGAGAGCTCCTCTGTTGGCTGGCGATAAGAAACCAAGACAGGCAAATACTGAAAAACAAAGCATTTAAAAGTCAGCAAAAAATGAAATGACGGGTTGGGATTCCTATTACAACCACTCGAGATTGGTATAATGTGTGCAATGAGGGAAATTCTATCATCTCTTTGCATTTTTTTGACAAGAAACTTAGCATTGGTCAGGCTCTCATGCTACATAAAGAAAATTTGAATGAAATCTCTGAAAAAAAAAGCGAATTATGTCCATATTTATTGCATGCATTTTCTAGTATGGCCTAAAATTAAGACATGGAAGAGGACCTACCTAGTGTGATCATGACCATGAAGAAGATTTGAACACCAGATCCAACCATAATAGACAACAACATTCCTTTTCTAGGAGCTCGAAATACATCACCATGGACCAACTTCCATCCAAATTCTTCTTGGGCATCTTCCTGTAAGGATAAAAGAATGATTTTGTGAAATACATCACTATAACATAGCATCACTATAACATAATGACTATAACATAGCATCACTATAACATAACATAATGACTATAACATAGCATCACTATAACATAACATAATGACTATAACATAACATCACTATAGCATAGCATTATTATAACATAACATAATGACTAGAACATTACTATAACATAACATCATTATAACATAACATCACCTTCGTAAAAAAACCCGTCAAAATGAAACTTACAGCACTGTCCATTTGGTTATATCTTGCAATATCTTTGTGGAGAGTTCTTAACAAAATCATGGCAACCATTCCGGACAAAAACAATACGATAACCAGAGAATTCATGATACTGAACCATTGAATGTTGGTATTTGGCATGGATTGTAGAATATAATCCCATCTTGAAGACCAGCTTACTTTGTTGTTCTCCTACAAAAAGAAATTAACGTTGTTAGCCTTCAGGAAAAGATAGTGAACAATTTACAAAGACGTACAGTTGATAAACTTTCACCAGTTTTTATGAACATAAGTAGAAATGAATACGTCCTGTACCATGTGGGCTAATGAAGACGGGCAACACCATGCAGGGTGCAATGAGGAAAATTTTGTCAGGACAGCGGCATTAACCTGTTCTTTGTCAATTTCCAACTGTCAAGGAAACTTGAGCGTGCACAGCCTGTAGCACACGGGGCCTTGGTTTATTGCCCCATCTGAACTCAACATCAGCAGAAGGAGTTGTAGCATTTGATTGGACCCTCAGGTTATAGTGCGAGCACACCCATGGTTTTGGTCGATCATCATATGCGGATCATGATTGAAAGGTAAATGAATTGATTGGATGATGACACTCTGTTTTGCAAATAATGAAACAATCAGCGACAAAGATCTAACTTGTTTGATATTAAAAATCATATCTGCGACACGATAATCTTGTTGTGGAAGCAAGGCACATGTGAGATTTTACACAAGATTTGCATCAGCGACCAACACCATTAGTGAGCAAGCATTAAACTCAATGAGTCACCTAGACACCAACAATTGAATAAGAATAGTAGAACATACCTTCCATGTAATAGAATAGGTATAGTTGATTGCAACATCCATAGATAGTTTACCATCAGGTATACCTACTGGTCCACTGTCTTTACTACATGCTCCAGGACCAGTTTTAGTGTGTTGGATACTGGAAAATAATTTTGAGGAAATACAAATCATATGTTGTGTGCAATGAGGTAAATTTTTGTCAGTGTTATAAGATACTTCCTCTTTTGATTGGACTGTCCAAGGATCTTTTTTGTAATTTAAAGGGATAGACGAGCTCTGAACACTATAAATGATTGGCTTAGCTAAAAAAAAAATTCTGTTTCTGAGACTAAGGTATGATTGTTTAAAAAAAAAGAGACATCTGTCCCTTAACTTTTCTTCGTCTTAGGCTCATCAAAAATTCCTGTTTCTGACACTAAGGTAAGATTGTTAAAAATATAAAGAAACATTTACATCAGGCAAGCATATAACTCACTAGGAAATTGCTGCCACAACAAAATAACAAAACAAACCTTCTGGGTTTAATCTTGGCACCAATAATTCGTCCACCATTTTGATGTTTTTCTCCCCACTCGGTACCGTCAGAACTATGATATTCTAAGACAATATCAACATGATTAAACACATAGTGAGTATTAAACGTCTTCATTCTTCCCTGAAAAATCAAAAAATATTTTGATAAAGGACATGAGTCACCAGGGGGTTGATTTGAGTGTTGAATATATGTAAATATGTCTTCAGAAGTACTAAAATCACATAATCCCTTTAAAAATATCTCAAACTGGGAAGCTTCCATCATTAATGCTCTCGAAGTGAAACATGAGAATTAGTTCTACAGGCAGCCACGTGATTGGTTAAAACAAAGGTCAAGCAAAGGTTAACAGAATGAAAAGTCAAGAAGGACAGTGTTAGACCTTACTGTAGTGGTTACATACAAAGCTAAGAGCTAATAAAACATTCGAAATGAAACTAATTATTTATATGAAGTTAGGTCTAAATTTAATTAGACTGTCTAAAGATTGTAAAGCATGAAACTCTAAGTAACAAAATGATTCAGATTGTTTTAATATTTATATATGTCTTTCTCTATTTGGCAGAGTCTGAAATCAAACAGCGCTTACGTCAATTTGGCAGACTTCCTTCCTCAAGCCTTTTGGATTGACATAACAACCAATAGGGAAACCTGTTGAACAGAATTGTCCTCCATTTTCTATATCATAACACCATGTAATAGGCATGTTGTCAATTATCCTGAAAAACAGTCAAAAATTTCTTATATTTTCAATTTAAAAAGGGATCAGGGAAGGGCTGGGGTGAGGGGGGATATACCATTAACAGCATTCAAAAAATATTTATATTGTGGCCTAAAACATGCTGGAGGAAATATCAAATTTTAGAAACTTTCAAATTGGGAGTGCGTTTTACTGAAAAGTCACTCAATATCATTTTGAAAAGGGATCAGGGGAGGGATGGTGATATATCAAAGGATAGGATCCTAAAATATCATTAAAATAATAAGTTTCACTCTAAAATGAAAAAAAATCTGATTGATGGATTTGGCAGAAAATTTTCACTAAAAATAGATTAGATTTTGACTCGTAAACTGTCATGCCATACCTTAGGACTCAGGATTGCTTCCAAAATACCAGTTTGTAACTTCTCTGAACAGCAGAAAAGTTGTTACAGATATGTTAAAATTGTGGACATTTTTTCTTTTGAATGCATTTATATGGAAATTTTTAAACCATGCTCACCAATGATGTTGATAATTCAGTTTAATTCCACGACGTAAAAATTTCAACTTATCCATATTATCTCCCTTTTTATAAACTTTCTGACAGGCATTAACACATTCTTCATCTTTCTTAAATGTAGCCTGAAAAAAAAAACCAAATATTAAAGATGGGTTCCCTTATTTTCATTTATGAAAATGAAAATGTTAATACTTATATGAATAGAAAGTAGAGATGTTCTAATGACTTGGAAAAATATCAGTTTGTCTCACATGTCCATAATTAATTCATAAGGAGGTGCCAAAATGCCAAAATCCATTGGTGAACAAGCCCAAACACATTCAATGAAACTTACTCTGTATGGTGATGGTCTAATACGTTCACCAAATACAACTTGACCTAGATTTTCTACTGGTGAATTATCAGCATCAACTTGACAGAAGTCAAACCTGGAAAACACGAGATAAACATAAACAAACAATTCATAAACAAAAATGAAATGAATGGAGTTTTACATCCTACTTTTCTACACCTAAAATGTTAAAGGCATTGCAGTTTGACACTGTACACAAATCTTTAAACAGTTTTGATTTCCCACTGTGCAGGGATCACAGCCTGTAGCACACAGGGCCTTGGTTTACTGTCCCATCTGAACAACTAGACACTTTTTCCATGTCAGTCCAACAAGGGTAACTACAGCTCCCAGCTATCATAAACAAAAGAAAAGGATAAAACAGCCAAAAACTTCATGATTTGTGAACATTGCAAAGAGCATAAAGAAAACAGCTATTTTGTGATTTGAAAATTGCTCAACTTAAAACTAACAAAAAAATGCAATTTATATTTTGTTGACCACAGTAAATCTACCAGAAACAAAATTAATTAATGATTTGTGTTAGGTGTACAACATAAAACTGTCAAAAACAAAATTAATCTTTGTAAGACATATAGAAGCAAACTACTTCTAGTTTTATTACATACTACGTTTCGAAACACATACAGGTAATGTTTTCAAGTAATCATTTGTGTATGCACAAAATCATAACCATTCATGATTGGTCAACATGACAAAATAGAGCATAAATGCGATAAAAAATACTCAAAAACCATTCAGAATTTCTTAAAATCTATTGGTATTACTATCAAAATCTATTTATTAGTTGCGTTATGGATTGTTTTGGATCCAATATGGCCGACATATGAATAAAGTCAATTTGACATCCTGGGTTCCATTTCACGTTTACAATTTTTACAAGTAAGAGAAATACTAGAAAACACTTGCTAAACCCGACCCAACACTTTTTGAAATATTTTAGGAAAAAGTCTTGGAATTGGACATTCTGTGTCCATCACACATTTAAAATCAAACTTACTTCTGATAAGTAAGAGAAATATGAGAAATAATCAATGCAATAAGCTAGTCATGGCCCATATAAACTCATATAAATTGACTACCATGACTAAAACAACTTAAACTGTAACAGGTGTCAGTTAAATGTCAATAAACCAGGAAATTGTGGCTCTATATCAGATTTTCAAACTACCTAGCATTTTAAAATCCTACACGCAATGAACATAAAAGCTATGTGGCAAGCGTATTACCAAATTTTTTTGACATGTATGAGGTAAGGTAGAGCATGACTCTATCACAACATTGAGTCAACCATCATCATTGAAACATCTGGTTGAATTCAAGAATCCAAAAATGGAGGGTGGAGCAATGTTTTTTAAAATTTAGTATACCATTCAGAGGACTCTCCCAGACTGCCTTTGTGAGAGTCCATCAGGAGAGGATTCTCCTCGATTTTGAAAATTTTTAGGTTGGGTTTGTTCCTTTCCTGATGAGAAAATAATAAAGACTTAAAAAACTTACTTGTTATATTCATAAGGAACAACTGTTTCCATTGAATTCAAACGATTCACAAAGATGGATATATTGGACTGAAATGGGACAAAAATACCAATTGATTAGTTGTTAATTTCTAAAAACTGTTTATAATGCAAAATACCAGTTGATTTGCACTCTTGCATATGCAGTGAAGAGATTGAGGGGTCAGTAGAGAACTTATTGAAAATGATGTATCATCAAATAGAGATCTATCATCTAAAAAGGGACACAAGCAAAATGCCTAACAGAAACAACGACAGAGGTTTACTTCCAGAGACAAAACGCATCTCAAAAGTAAGATTGATGCGCTTGTGTGTTGTCAAAAAGCCGAACTAGCATCTATCGGTGTTTTTGGGCTTAGCCTACTTACCTTGCAGTTTTCCCAGTGCGATGCCGAATCGAGAAGAGTAATGTCGCAATACGTTTCAGGTGCCAAACCAGGCAGGTAAAGCGCCGTGGCAATTGAAAAACATGCCAAACCTATTAGAATCGACCTCAACATTTTGCTGAAATGTACTATTTGCTCTGTTACTTTTTGTACATTGAAGAAATTAACAAATTAAAGTAGTTTCAACAGAACTGTCAACAGAAAATGGCCGCAACACGTCACCAAAGGAATTGTGGGTACACATGTAGCCAAGGGAGGTAATCAGTGTAGCGTAATATCTGGATATGATCCAACATGTTTAATAAACTTGTATTCAGGATTACTGAAGCATAAAAAAGATAAATTTTAGATAAAAGAGATAATGAGCTTGATCAGATTACCCTTTAACTTTTAAGCTGTTTATAGCACCTTCTTAATCTACAAAATCCATTTTTTGATATCTATGGATACATGTGACAAAAATAAAGAATTATTCAAGTTTTTATAACTAATGAAATTGGTCTAACATATGGTAAATTAGATGAAATGGTCCAGGACAATATCAATAAATTCCAAAATTAACAAAATAAGGAAAATTAAAGAATAAAAAAGTTGGGCTCAAATATGATCAATCATATTCATAACTAATGAAAACAAATAGAAGTCCTAGGCAATAATCAAAAAAAAAAAAAAAATATGGGAGATTCTAATAAATAAATTCATTGTACCAGAAAAAAAGGAAATGAAAAAAAAAAAAAAAAAATATATATAAATGAATAAATAAATTGAAATGAATGAATGAATGAATGAATGAATAAATAAATAAGTAAAATAAATAAATAAATAAATTGAAATGAATGAGTAAAATGAATGAATGAATAAATAAATAATTTTGGACTCAAAATTCTGAAAGCTAAATATGTCTGTCCTAGGTAATTTATTCAATTAATGTCTTTATCATAAATACAATAAAGTACACAAAAGTTTAGCCCATTTGACAACAGATTGGACCATAGATAAAAAAAAACCCACAATTTAATGGGCAACTTATCTCAGCCTTTGTATTTTTTTTAGATAAAATATAGCCATTGGCTATTTGGTTTAAAGGGACAGATGCGCTATTTTTTTTACAAATCATACCTTAGTCTCAGAATGGTGCAAATTGATGCTATCAGTCTCCTTGATACACATAAAAAGTTTAGAAAACCTCTTTACAATCCCTTTAAGATGGATTTTTGTGGGGACATGAATTTGTGAATTTAGTCTGCCAAAGTAGCTTTAACATACCCATCTTCATCTGACTACAGAAAATGGTCATTGCACAGAGCACATCTAGAGCCTTAATCCTGCAAACCAAAGAAAACACTGTGAACAAATAAATGAAATTGGAGTTTTAGACCCTAACGAATATAGAGAGCATCTTATAATAGACTCATTAATAGCCGATGGCGCCATTTTGGACGTCACATGATCACCACCATTAAGGTACTAAAGAACGATATTTATTACAATAAAAACACAAAAAATATCACAGATTCAATTATTAAACAATAATAAAATATATTATATAATTTCAAATCATAAAGACTCGTAAATAATATATAGTGATTCAACTGATTTTTAAGTCCTGGCAAAGCTTGGCTAAAATTTGAAAATGGGCAAAAAAATGACCATTAAATAAAATTATCACAGGTCTCAACCAATAAATTTGGCAGAATTTGGACCTCCCAAAAATTTAGGATTTTCTGTAGTTGTCCTCTGACCCAGGTCACAATTAAGCAAGATTTGCAAAATAAGAAACATGGACGAAAGTGGGTATGCTCACTCTTCTCAGAAATACCTCATGCCACTCTGCCAATGTTTTTTTTTTCAATTTAGAATTACTTTCAGAGAGTCCACATAGTTAATATTGATGACCAATAGTGATCAAAGAATAACAACATGCTCAGAATATGCCAGACCAATTATCTGAACAAAATCACAGGAGGATAACCATAGGGTTACAACTATTGATATATCAGAAGATCATTGACTCTTATATTTTCAGCTATTTCAGTTAAAGAAATGATACTACCACAGATAGTATTACAGAGACATCCATAGTTAACGTATCTAATTATCTTAACATTTAACTTGCATCTTGTTTTATCATAAATCTTTACATTGTGACCTAGGCCAGTGCTTTCGTGAGACTATGTTCTCATCAATATCTAACTAACATGCAGTGTATGTTTGTGGGTGTGTCTTTTCAACTAAAATCATACTAATGACTTATCTATTGCTCTGTGACCTAGGCCAGTGCTTTCATGAGACTATGTTCTCATCACCATCTAACACTAAGACAAATGGAATGTTTCTTTTAGTCAACATTAGAAGAAAATCCAAAATGTCAAGGATAACAACTTGGATGGAGAATGGACCTTTAGTTTTCAGGTGAACCACAGAGTCAAGGATAAATCTATGTTGATATCTTCAGTGGTCTCTTAGGTTGCAACAAGGGTATGCTCATGTTTCCAAATCACCTGAGGCCACTCTGTGAATTGATTTTTCAATTCAGCATCCTCTTACAGCGAGTGTAAGTAGTTAATATTGTTTTATTGTTGATTTGAAGATGCACGACATATTCTAGAATGTTATTTTCACCAAAATCTGAATTGATAGTGGCGTCTGTTAGGTTGACCTCTGTAAGGGTCAACAGTTCCAATTGTCCAAGAGATTTGATCATTTTCTGTTTTGGCTGGTGGTTGCCATGGAGATCCTTGAGTCTTGTATGGAGTGTTTCTGTTATTCGAGTCAGCACTAGGGATTTTGGGTAAACTGAAATAAAAATCATGGCAAAATGACAAAAACAGCACAAAATGTATGGAAGAAAGAAACATGAGGAACTACGACAGGTCACCAGACTTACACATAATTGTCGATCGAGATTAGAACCCAACACCACTCACCCAACCAAGTGTATGTAAAGAGTGTAAAGAACCTCCAATGTATTTAAAATAATCCAAAATCAATTTTTGCGTCTCACTTTTCTGCATCATATTCAAATGAAGTCAGACATTATCATGCAGTATGCAAAACGATTCAAAAAGATTTTTGAAAAAGAAAAACAAAAATTTCTGCAACTCACCATGTTTCTATATTTCCAGTGACCGGATTAATTCTAAGATGGCCGCCGCGACCTTGATACTCTTGATGAAGGTTCATTTGCTGCGGAGAAACTTTTGGAGGAATTTTGTCTGAAATTCAAAATAATAATGAAAATATTTTAACCAATCAAAATATTGTTTAAAGTGGCTAGACAATACATATACACATATATAATGTCGTACGGAAATCTTTTATTGAACACAGTATTTGATTGGTTGAATGTGAAATAACATGAACAGGAGATGTATAACAATTTGTCAGATCAAGGAAGGCATTTTCATGCAGATTCAAAAGTAGTTAAAAATTTGCAAATAGTGTCTACAATTTGTGCCTGGGGTATTTCACAGGCAAAAAAATAAAAAATTACCTTTAGCTGGTTCAACACTATCCTGGCTATTTTTACGTTGTAGCGGGGAGGGAGATCTCCGTATCATCTGATTGGTGTATCTGCTGTACATTGGAGGATCTGATTGGACAGATGGCCTGGAAATACAGTATCAGACTATTTCAAACGAGATACAAAATAACATGGCACGACAATTCCAATTGACTTTACTTTGGTACCGATTAGGGGACAGTGTAGAATATACGGCAATATTACATCCTTAATTCATGTGTAGATAAGGTGTTAATGACAAAATAAATAAATCCCAACTTACTGTGGTGAATTTAGTCTTTGTTGAAGCAATGTGTTGGATCTTGGAGGTAAATTTAACACTTTTAATGCCTGAAAAATCAACCAAAAAATTGCTCAATAAATGCTTATACAGTTATGGCTGCTCTACTGGTCACCATAAAGGTGATATCACTCCAGTTGCATATGGTTGCAAATAATGAAAGTGGTCATGAGTACCAAATGCAACACACAACTCAGTTTCATGAGAGTTGAGTTCGAAACTTATGGTCGTTATTTTTCCCAACCATACACAACTGGTGATCGCTATGCTGTGAGGGCCCCTTAAGTATCGGTGGGAATCATTAGGCAGGATGACCAAATAAGGGACACAGAATCCTCAAAGAACCTGCCTGTGTATGAAATTAAGGCTAGCTGTCCTGATGAGGATACTGTATCCAAAACACATATTGACAACACGACAGCTAGATGTTATTTGGAAACCAGATTCACATATTTTTTCTTACCTGAATATTGTGTTCTTGAATCATTCTGACTTCTTCAGAAGTCTTTCCCGATGGAGGACGGTTTCTAAGGCAACCAGAAGATGGCCGACTCCTAGCTGAAACATTTCTACCGGATGATGGTCTGTATGTCACATTTGATGGATTAAGAGAATTATCTGCAGGGTGAACTCTGTTCGTATTTAGTGAACCACGACCAGACGGAGGACGGTTGAGCCTTGAACCAGACGGTGCTCTGTTACCATAGCAACCATTATTATTTGAATCATTTCTTTTGTCTGAACCAGCAGATCCTAAATAAACACAAGAAATATTAATGCATCTTGTTTTTCTTAAAGATAGGTTCCCTTATCTTCATTTATGAAAATGAAAATGCTAATACTTATATGAATAGAAAGTAGAGGTGTTCTAATGACTTGTAAAAATACCAGTTTGTCTCACATGTCAATAATTAATTCATAATTAGCTAAATTAGAAGAGACTAACAAGCAGTTTTATTATTATTGGTTTATTGTACTGAATAATGGACATGTGAGCTCCTTCAGTCTAACAGGGGCAAAAATGAAATGAATGGAGTTTTATGTGCTACTTTTTTTGCACCATGTGGGCTTATGAAGACGGGCAACGCCATATAGACAGCAATGAGGGAAAGTTTGCCAGGTAAAGAAAGGTCAAAAAGTATTTTTTCGGTTAAAACTCTTAATTACATACAATCTAAGAAAATAATCATATGATTAAGAATATTTGATAATTCATTAGGAACATTTAATCAAATAGTTTGCTTAATTTGAGACTAAAAAAATAAGGAAACCCATCTTTAAAAACGGTTTTATTGGTGTGAAAAGCTACTAAAAGCTATGAAATAAAGGGAATAACACTTTTTTTGGAGACCTGCATGCAGTACTCACCATGGTTAAGATATCCATTTAAAATTCTACCGTTTCTTCTTGCATCAATAAAACAATCTGTTATTAAAAAAAAGGAATTGATGCTACTGAGATTTCTAAAATATTTTGTTGAATATTACCACTTTCTATCATGGTGGCTGCGTTGATATTTATTGTTCCGATGGGTGCACATTTTTTACTTTGACAGAAATTTTGCCAGATTGACTTGATGGTAAGAAAGAGGTGCGTACTATATTTGCAGTTACATATAGTAACACATGGTACATATTGAAAGAACTTCAGTATTAGTCAGTCTGTAGCCCTTACAAGATATAATCAATGGTTGAGTAGGTTTGTGCACGATGGGTCGAAACATTCAAGACGCTATAAGGTTAGCCCAAATTCTAAATACAGAATACTGTAATCTGATTGGTTAATGAGGTTAACTCTAAAATGGATATTAGTGATTATCCAATCAGATAGCTAGTATGTTTGAATCATCATTAAGTTGAATCCGAGATATCATCTTTAGACTTGTCAACCAAAGTTAATAAAATATATGTACCCACCATTTTGATTTAAGAATCCTTCGTACACAACAAAATTGTTAGTTTGAGGTATTTGATTTCGTAAATGATAATGTTTCTGTAGAAACTGTGAGAATTTGTGACTCGGCCTGTCAATAGCTAGATGACATGGACGTATATTTTCATGCTGAAAAAAATGAAACACAAACTAACCATTTAAAGAGTATAGTTTAATTGTGAGAGGACTGGATGTCTGATTCAAATTCTGAAAAGAGATACAGATAGCTTAAATTGAGCACTGTCAATATGCTGAGTTATTGCCCTTGAAAACAATTGATCTAAAAAGTTCCCACATACCTGTAGCATATATTCAAACAAGCGTTTGCCACACCCGGTTCTTTGTCGAGATTCGTGAACATAAAAATCCAAAACACATAGCGGTTCCATTTCATGTTGTTTACCATGTAAATCATACACAAATAATCTCTTCCTACCAGTCTTTAATAAACCAACCACTGAACCATTGCCTCTGAAATAATAGAATTGAAATAAATGGAAATGATGGTTTATAATTTAAGGGACTATGTCGCAGAATTTGAATCTGGTGTCTTTTCTATATGTGGCAGCATCTCAATAAAAGATGACTCGTCTTTTTAACACTCAAATGCGGATAATTCTGGACACACATGGATTTGAAGGCTAAAATTTTGACAGTGAGCAGTGAACACTATTACTAATTGACTTAGCTAAAAAAATTCCTGTTTCTGAGACTATGGTATGATTGATGAAAAAAAGGTGCTCTATCCCTTTAAAAATGTTCTGGGTCAAGGATCCGTTAAGTAAATCTTTGCCTACCTTAAGCCTTCTTGATCTTTCATAATATATAACTTATGGTCTGATACTTCCATCTTTCTTCCACTTGTTATTGCACCATGTAGACTCTGAGCCTGGAAATGGAAATATTGGACAAATTAAAGTAAAAACAAAATACAATTTTAGTTCTTTGCTACCACCAATTGTCACCCACAACCCCAATAAAATGTATGATGATCTAGGTCTTGCGGACACTTTCCATCCAATGTTGTCTAATTAATTAATCAATTACCTTAGCTGAAGCCTCTCCCATCTTGTCAACAATTTCCAATAACTGTCTTCGCAGTAAAGCCCTGAAATTTAAATCAAAATCTATTTAAAAGAATAAAAGCAAAAATCAAGCTTATATTTGACTTGTCTAGATTTTTCATTACTTATAATTATATTCATTTAAGAATGGTATCAAATTTGCTATGAACATTAAGGACACATAAGAGTAACAATCTGCCAAAATTCACAGAGGCGCAAGTGCAACAGTGTCGGATAGGAGGGATAGGGTCAGAAATAGGGGTTGTAAACACACACCTGTCATGCCCATTCCGATGAGGAACCATCCTCCGATCTAGTTCATTTATGCCATCAGCGAGTATGGCATTAACGCTGAAATCGAACTCCATTCTTGAAAACGGCAATTATTCCTCCAGGTCTATATTGTTCAACGATTTAGGTGTGGCAGTGGATTTAAACAGGTGGTTTGGTCGCCATGTTTACTTCTCCAGGTAAACATTACAGTTCCGCATAAAATTGAAAAAAATGCAAGAGAAAATAAAATTAAAATAATAATCATGACAAATTATTCAATTAAGTCGATTTTTCATTTAGAATTAGGCCTATTGGATAGTATCTATATTTTTATAAAAATAATGCTCGATCCAAATCCAAATATTTGACGAGCATTTGTGCGGAGCTTCAAGATGTCAGCCCCCATGGAATAAACTAGAAATTATTTCAACTGCGTATATGAAATAGATCTACGCGCTGGTTTGAGTTGTCAGAAAGGGGAGTTTCCACTTAACGTGTTGAAATTGTCGAAAACAATCCGAAGATGCCAAGAAAAAAGCCTTTTAGTGGAAAACAGAAGAAAAAACAGCTGAAAGACAAAAAGTTGAGGAAAGGTAAATTTGCACCAAACAAAAAGTAGGCTCAAAAGTCAAACGTGAAATTTGAACAAGCAGTTCATATTTGAGTTTCCCTAATCAATCAATCCAGTTGTTACACATTTGTTTCATTCTTAAGCTACGATTTGCAATGCTGACAGACTGATTGCTAGCAGACGATTTTTTTTTAGATTGCTTTGTCATTTGATTTGGTTATTAAGGCATTTAAGCTATTATCGAGCTCAATGACAGTTATGTTGTCATGATTCAACTTTGACCTGCCAACAGAAACAAAATGTCTGGTCACGAAGTATAAATATTAAATTCTTAACTCATCATGGTTAGAGATGTTCTCTTCTCTTCTTGACCAGTGAAAATCAAATCATAGAATTTATTTTCCAGATGAAGATTCTGATGATGAAGATAGCAGACGACACAAAAAACACCACAAAAATAAAGGTGAAGCTGGAACATCACACATTGACAAAAAACAAGATCCACACAGGTTGGTTTTGTTTCAAATATGAACCTTTAAGCCTCTGGTTCCCAACTTAGGGTGTTTTCTACCCTGGGGATGTAGAACTTGCGTATCAATGTTTGGGGAGGGGGGGCTGAAGAATTTCGGGACTTCCAAAGGACATGTTTCAATCGAAGGTCATTGTAACGGCTACAGCCATTGATCCAAGCTAGTTTGATTGGGAAACTGGGGAACATTCCAGAATATAAAATTTCTTTGAATTGACTCTCGTATATATTTATTTTCAGATATCGCCTACAGTTTTATAAAGAAAGTAGAGATGTTATCAAACAAAGAAAACTAGACGCCATGAAACCCTACACCAAATTACCAGAGGTATGAAAACAGTAAAGTTATCACCAAGCTAGCAAAGTCATGAAAACATTGGCCATGGCCATGACAAAAATTACTGCACACTTAGCTAAATTGTACAAAAGCGTTTGACGACTCCTTGACAATACTGAGGCACGGAGATGAATTCCATAAAAGCATAGGCACTCTGCTGACTCTCTCACAAGCATTGGCCATGGAAGAAATTACTGCACACTTAAGGCAATAAGTTCACACAAAGATTACAAGATCCTGAGGATTTGATGAATGTCAAATGGATCTCAAGTAATGGAGTCAAGAAAGTCACATAAAACAACTAAGGCTTGTCATAATTCGCCAGTCGAACGCCAGTTATTAATAGTGACTCACATTGAAACAGTTATTATTTGTTATTGTAGAAATGTTTAGAAGTAGACATGGATGTATTATATCACCCAGGCACCACACCAGAGATTCCCAAACGACCCAAATGGGACTATAATCTATCCAAGGTTAAACTCGAGGCCAAGGAAGACAAAATATTTAAGGTACCTCAAAAATTCTATTAAATTTATAAGAGCTCATTTCATGTTATGAAGAAGCTGCAGTGAGTTAGATGCTTGCTCGCTAACCTGAAGGTGTAGAGTTCAATCCTGGCATAGGTCAAGATAATACCTTCAGATACCTGTGGGTTTCCCCTGTCAGCCATAAGGCTTCAGGTCGCTTGGATGAGACAACAACCAAGGCCCTGCCTGTCTGCTACACACTGTGCACATTAAAGATCTATTGACAATTGGAAATTGAAAAAGTCCTGGCATAATTTCCCCTATTGCGCACTGCATTTCTTTCCCCCTTATTTTAGGAGTATGTAGATGAGTTATTTGAAAGTTATAGAATAGAAGATTTAAGTTATTTTGAGTTAAATTTAGAAACATGGAGACAGTTATGGAGAGTTCTAGAAATGTCTGATATTTTATTATTAATATCAGACATCAGACATCCTGTAAGTCAGACATTTTATCTCAAATTATTCTGTGCTTTAAAGGGTAAATACTCCACAAATTGAAAACAGGGATTTGACCTTGGAGGTTGACCACTGTCTCCACCTGGATGTCCATGACAACAATGGGGAGGCCTTGAAGGGCGTTGGCAAAAGTGAATGGCCTTGGAGGGCATTTGCAAGAGTAGATGGCCTTGGAGGGTGTTGGCAAGAGGGGGGGAGGCCTTGGAGGGGGTTGGCCTTTGAAACCCTTGACAGCACAGTGTATTTTTAGAAATACAAGGGTTGCCAATGGCAATCCTTGACAATACAGTTGAGGCTGTGGAGATCCTTGAAGAATGAGTGTTTTCTTGGATGTCCTAGACAACAGGGGTTGACCTTCAAGATCTTTGACAACAGGAATTTGGCATTGAAAGTATTTGATCATGGAGGTCCTTGACAACAGAGTGTTGCCATGGAAGTTCTTGACAACAGAGACCACCATCAACTGAATAAGATAAAGATAAACTGGATGTAAGACTCCCTTTAATTTCATTTTTCAGATGTTGAATTTCTCCCCAGCTCTGTATCATCATATAACAGAAGAATTAAACAAATCTTTAATATTAGTCTTAAATAAAATAGATTTAGCCCCACCTAGCCTGGTTATAGCTTGGAGAGAATATCTAATGCAGAAATTTCCCAAACTTCATGTAGTGTGTTTCTCATCATTTCAAAAATTTGATATCGCTGGTAATGATCAGGGCGCTAAAGGTAATTTGGCTTCAATGTTTTAAGAAAGAGAAGTTCATATTTTGCAAGGATAACAAATCATGTGCTTGGAAGCTATATTCTCAGTAGCCTAGGGGTCAGAGTTCAATCCTAGCAAATGTCACGCTGATACCTTTAGAATTTTCAACCCAGTTTCCACTGTCAGTCCGTCTTATGTTGAGATAATACTTTCGGATTTTTCAACCCAGTTTCCCCCTGTCAGTGATGTAGGTAAGAGGGGCTGACATGGAAAAAGTGTCTAGTCGTTCGGATGGGACAATAAACCGAGGCCCCGTGTGCTACAGGCTGTACATGTTGCAGATCCCTCAACAGCTGGAAATCGAAAAAGAGCAGGCTAATGCCGCTGTCCTGGCAAAATTTCCCTCATTGCAGCCTTTACGGCGTTGCCTGTCTTCCTGAAAAGTAGGACATAAAGCTCCATTCATTTCATTTTTGACCCTGTTAGACTGAAGGTGCTTGCATGTACATTATTCAGTACAATAAACCAATAATAATAAAACTGCTTGTTAGTCTCTTCTAATTTAGCTAATTATGAATTAATTATTGACATGTGAGACAAACTGGTATTTTTTACAAGTCATTAGAACACCTCTACTTTCTATTCATATGAGTATTAGCATTTTCATTTTCATAAATGAAAATAAGGGAAACCATCTTTAAAAAACGTCCCCATAGTATCAGCCACATGAAATACAAAACAATTCCTATGGAACTTTCAGTACATAAAAGAAGACGACATGTAAAATATGATGCTATTGGTCCACATGAACTCTGGCAGTCTTGTGATGATATAGTACAGGGAAGAGGTAACTATTTTAATTCTATGCTTTACTGGCTCTATAATTACTTGTTATAATACTCAAGCAGAAATAAACCATTTACTAACGATTTGAACCACAAAACAAAACCTGAAATCCAAAACAACATATTGGCAAAAACATTGGTAGCAGCTAATGAATTTTTCACATGAGGAAGTATATATCAATCATAAGTGAGTAAGTATTTCATAATGAAAAGTGGTATCAGGTGTCTAGAAGAGTAAGCATGCCCTGCATAGCTGATCTGTAGAAGTAGCCCAAGTGACTGTCTTATGGTTAAACTTGGGGGTTCGACTATAAGACATTTTTATTATTTTATTTTTCAATTTTTCAGTTGATCTTAGTGAATGGAAGAGTAAGATAGAAACTGATTTATCCAGCGTGGAAGACGAGGAAGGGGAAAGTCCTGAAACTGTCACAGAAAAACAGGATTCCAGTTTCGTAGAACATGAGTTCTTTAAAGATGGTATTTTAACTATTGGTTGTATTGGTAAGTTGTCTTGCTTGGATATTTTATCTTGCTCTTGAGGATAGACTGTTGCTCAATGGGTTAGAGTGTCTGAGCCTTGATGTTATTTTCTTGGATGTTTCAACTAAATGGTGGTCATGGGTTCTAATCTGGAACAGCGTGTGAATGTCTGTTGACCATAGTAAGCCATCTCTCCTCATTATACCAGTCGACCCAGCTGTGAATGTCTACATCAACTAAAAAGATCAAGACCAAGCTGGTGAACGAAACCTCGTGAACCCTAAAAATTATATGTAAAGTGCTTGAGATTCGAGAAAAATGACTCACTATTTTCAGGTTATCCGAATGTTGGCAAATCGTCCTTAATAAATGGTTTAATGGGAAAAAAGGTAATTTTGAAATTTTTATTATTTTTTTTTAATATACAGTCAAACTTGTATGAAGCTACTGGTCACTGGAATATAAAAAATTGTCTGCTAACTGAAGAGGTTTCTTATTGATTTAGTCTGATTTCAGACAACATTATCCATAGATAAGATCATTTTATTATGTTCACTATCATGAATTATACTCTCTTTATATTCCAATAAAACTCCATGCCCGTTTTTTACATTGAACTATTATAAATTTCTTGACGTCTGCAGGTTGTGAGTGTGTCGAGAACGCCAGGTCATACCAAACACTTCCAGACCATATTTCTCACCCAGCAAGTTCGACTGTGTGATTGTCCTGGTCTAGTCTTTCCTTCATTGGTTGAAAAATCACTTCAGGTAAGATGACTCAAGGGAGATAACTCTGTTTAACACGCTATTTTACATGCTTTCCCTCTCCTGTTGTGATATCGTTATTGTCCAGGGAGATCAGAGATCTATCAGATCATTTTTTTGGACATTTTAATTAGGTCCAAGGGAGATAACTATCTTTATTGATGTCATTTTAGACACATATGTGGTCTGTAGTCTATGGAAATGATATTTTGCTGATATACGGTCTGTAATGATGGTACTCAGTTTGAGTTCTATTTTTAGATTTTAGCAGGTATCTACCCAATAGCTCAAGTGAGAGATCCTTATACTCCAATAGGGTATTTAGCTCAGAGAGTTGATTTACCCATCTTACTGAAACTTAAACATCCTGAGACAGAAGACACTGAAGAACCAGAAAGACTGGAATGGTCACCAGTATACGTCTGTGAAGGTAATTGTCCTATTTGCATTGCCTTTATTCTCATGTATAATCAACACCATTAAGTGTGCAATGAGGCAAATTTTCCTATTTTATATGTCATCATTATCTGAGTTCAATTAAAACTCCATTTAGTGTGCAATAAGGCCAATTTTCTATGTCATCATCATTATCTGTAATCAATGGATTTTTAAATCTGACACAATTTAGTGTGCAATGAGGGAAATTTTATCAGGACATCTTACTAGATCTTTACTCCCAAGGGGTTGATTCTATGTAATGCTTAGCCGAGCACACATAGCCTCCTTCCTACTTTTTTCTGAACTGCAAAAGTGCTTGAAAAAACCTTGATGAAAAATCCAAAAGTATTATCTTGCCCTATGCCAGGATTGAATCCTCAACCTTCAAATTAATGTTAGCCATTTTCTTTTCCAGCTTGGGCTGAAAAGAGAAGGTTTTATACCTCAATGGCTGCCAGACCAGATGTCAGTAGAGCTGCTAATCATTTATTAAGAATAACAGTAGATGGTAGAATTAGACTGTGTTTTAGACCTAAAGGATACACTGATAATATAGGTACTGTATAATTACGAATACAATGCGCATGTATGTATAATACGCACCCCTGGATGTTAGAAAGACAGAAACAGCCATATTTCCCAAGGATAACAACTTAGGATCCGGAGGTTCTTGTCCAACCTTGTAGCAATATCAAGGATAACAACAAAGGTTTTCAAGGATCCTTTGGACTACCTGGTTCTTGGTCAAACCTCTTTGCTCAATCGGGAATGTAAAATTGACAAAGCTCTGTCATTTCAGATAAATGGGAGTCCCATACAGATACAATCAAGCTAGCAGCAAGATCATCTCACAAAGATGAGATATCTGAATCTGAATCTGAAGATGATGGTATTGAAGTACCAGGAGGAAGTGAAGAGGAAGAGAGTGGTGAGGAAGGGTCAGAAGAAGACAGCGAAGAAGAGGATGGTGCTGGAATCTCCACCAGCAATCCTTTTGCTGCTCTTGGTTAATTGGTATTGAAGATTTTCTGTTTAAGGAATATAGTCGTCGATTGATTGATTCAGAATGAAGAATTAAGGAATTAGTTTTATAATATTAGGTTTTATAAGAGTTAACCTATTATAGAAGCACTGGCCTAGGTCACAAGTAGAGATTATGGATTTCAGCATTGGAATACATCAATTTGATATAGTGTTAGACAAGCATTAATAATGGACCAAGCACATATGCCAACCAAACTACAAAATTTCTTTCAATTTTTTTCAGTTTTTAGCATACTAGTCTGCAGATCACACAGCGTGAACATGTTTCAGGTTCTGTTTTAATATTTCTATTCAAATATATACTATTTCTTTATAACTGATGTATGGAGAACTATTTTAACAGTGAAAGTATTGTGTTATTCTTCTGAGAATTGAGATAGATTCAAAAAATTTCAAAATATGCCAAATTTGAATTGCTTTTGCCAAGTTTATTTTGTTCCATTTTTTTATATTTTCTGTGATTGATTAAATATAAAAAACAACAGATTTTGATGAAGTTGTCAACGAACTGTTATTGTTGAATGCGAAATTAGCATCCCACCAACTATACAAGCCTGGACACCTGTTCTACACTATCGGGTATAGACTGGCTTAGATCCTTTGTCAGCTTCAGTGGCGGATCCAAAACTGGGGCAGCCCGGAGAGCAAGTTTTTCGGTCAAAATCTGATAACTAAGTTCGAAATATCAGGCAATCTTAGATATTTGGCCCCCCCCCCCCCTCAGACGTAAACCTGGCTCCGCCACTGGTCAGCTTTCAGTCGAAGTGATTTAATAATTTAGTATGACACTGCATCATGGGATTATTATATAATCACCATGGTGACAACAGCTCCGAACAAAAAATGGCGGACCAGTTTCTACTATTAGATTGTTCATTTGTTGCAAATTTAGGATATAGACAAAAATGGTGATTAGTTGATTCACCATTGTTGTCTGTTATTGTTTCCCCTATCATGTCCATTGACGATAATCTTTCACAGAGGCAGTGGCGGCTGCAGAACTTTGGGTGGGGAATTGCCACGGCCAATCCGTCTCTCTTTGGAAGTCGCCATTGACCAGTGACGTAAGATATAGTCAGAAAGTTTTTGATATTGTTTTTGCTTTATAAATATTAATTGCTTTGTTGATTTTTCGAATAAAACATAAAATTTCAACTAATTGAATATATTTCTTGATCAAGGGTTAGTGATCAAAACTGACTCGCATCCCTTTAGTGCAATTTAGTTGTTTAAACTACGCCCAGAATAGAGGAAACCTTCTTCATATGACAGGGGTTGTCCCTATTACTGTTCGTGTGTACATATTTACCAAACAAACCATACATGAAAACGTCTTGATTGGCCAGTTTGAAATCACGTGACACTACTTTTTTTTTTATTTAAGTCCAGAATACTAGGATGAAAATGCCAACCAGTAACTAAGAGAATTGAAAATTTTTAGTCCGAGAGGAAATTTTGATTTCAAAAATAGAATTATTAAACTTTTTGTTCCAATGGATCCGAAGACATTCTAAAGTGGAATGTAGAATTCTATTTCAAATATTTGATCAGCGGAATATGACAAAAAAAAAAATCAATTCTGGGCTCAATATGGTCAAAGAGTAATTGGCAAAGAATGAAAACTGCTGAAAATCCATTTGTTAATTGACCCATTAGCCTCCCTTTAATGTATACAAAGTCAGAAATCTAATTGAAAAAATAAAAATTGTTTTTATTTCTAATGTGCGGTTAAAATATGTCTCGTTATATTCTCACGAGATTCTCTTAATTTCCCACGAGAATTGACGAGATGTTATATTAATGTATAGTAATTATATAAAATGGATATCTGGAACGTCTTTTAGCTTTATTGTATAGTTCACGTTAAGGTGATACAATCGTTTAGATAATTTGTAATGGAAAAAGAGTAGACACATGCGGCAAACCTAACACATTTCCATACTGCACACTGCATGGTTTGCCCGCCTTTACAAACATAGTGATGTCATCTACAATATTTGCCTGATATGCAAGAATATGCAGCCAACCTGCCTTTATGCGTCATTCTAAAACTGTTACGGGTATTTCAAAGATTTAGACGAACATATCCCTTTAATTCAAGCATCGCCCACGTTAATATCGATGACTGAGATCTGCGAATGAATCTTGAAAATTGGGCAGTACGGAGAGAGTATAGGGATAAAGAGGCAAAAGGTGTATCAGAGCAATAAGAAAGAGACGATAGAGATTATGGAAGTAAAGGACGAAGGAGTGATGAAGGGAGGAAAAGGAGAGTGAAGAAGAAAGTTGAAAGGAAGAAGAGGGGGATGAAGAAGAGAGTGAAGAAGAAAGTTGAAAGGCAGAGGAGTGAAGAGGGTATGAAGAAGAGTGTAAGAAGGAAGTAGAGTGGATGAAGTAGAGAGTGAAAAAGAAAGTAGAGAAGGAAGGATGAAGAAGAGAGTGAAGAAGGAGGGATGAAGAAGAAAGTAGAGGGTGAAGAAGGAGGGATGAAGAAGAAAGTAGAGGGTGAAGAAGGAAGGATGAAGAAGAGAGTGAAGAAGAAAGTAGAGGGTGAAGAAGGAAGGATGAAGAAGAGAGTGAAGAAGAAAGTAGAGGGTGAAGAAGGAAGGATGAAGAAGAGAGTGAAGAAGGAAGTAGAGGGGGTGAATATGAGAGTGAAGACGGAAGAAGAGTGTGGACGGCAGAGAGGGACCGATAACAGTCTTAGAGAATGTTCTCTTACATTTTGAGGTACTTATCATACATGACGACTAAATTTTATTTTATGAAATGTTCATAAGTAGTCTCAATGGTCAAATAAAATAGTAGTGAATTACTTCCCTTGGTGTAAACGTATATAAAACGTTACTATGTAAATAACAAATGGGCGGATTAGCGCTAAGCTGACTGACTGGGCTCCACTTAAAAATTTCCTATGAGGAAATAGAAATAGATCTGAACACAACACAACAGATGATGTGATAATTTGACATAAGGCTGGTTAATTGGATGACAAATGACTGGATAATTATTCTATATACAGGCGTTAAGGGAATTTCGTTAACTAATAAAGACAAATTTGCCCCACTATATACAATAACAGCTACCTTAATTAATTAAATATATACCAAACTCGCTCTTTTATTGGCTATTAATTCAAATACAACCAATCGATATCCAGCCTGCTCAAACTTAATATTCTGGTTTTCGGTTCACCAATTCAACCGGACGGGTTAAGTTGTACTGGATAAAACCCAAAGAACTTGGAAACTTTCAGGATATTGAGAATGTTAATTTGGTAAGTTTACCTTGATACATTTTTGGTTCAAACCATGAGATATTTAGGCTCGTGGACGTGTTTCGGATATATAATCCTTTTCAGGACAGCTAGTTTTACAAAGAGGGTTAACTTTCTAATTTTGAACTTAAACAATGTTAGCGACGAGACGAGCTTTGGTACACCAAAGTAGAGTCGCGTCGTATCCGTCGCAATTCCCGTGAAAGTGAGAGGCGGCAGCCCGGGCGGTTTGCGGTGTTTTGTTGCTTGAAAACTGGTTGTCAGATAGACTGTAGAATCTGAGAGCGACTGGATTTGTATTAAAAATCGGCAACAAGTTGCAACTAAGAGGAATTGGTCAACCGCTGGATTTAGTTTACTCGACTGCGCCAATATCTGAAACAGCCGCTTTTTACAACCAGTTGGTCATGTTCCAATTCTGGTGCTTAGTGCCTCTAAAACACGATTACAAAATAACCATAAATGAAGCTTAAAAATACTGCAACCAATTTTTAGCAACTTTTCGGACTCTTTGAAACCTTTTGCAACGTTTGGACGCCAATTAATCCAAATCTTCCATCACGGTGGAAGGCGTCGAAATTTCAAACGAATTTCATTTGCTCCACAATAATAAAGTGCTATAGGAGGCTTCTCGGGTTCCCATTGAGATGGTTATTGATACCCCAGTGTCGAGAACCAGCGGTGTGAACAAAATTAGGATCGAGAATTCTGAGCTATACAATAAAATCTACTAAACAGTCCGAAATGCGAATTGGTAAATCATTTATCCGAAGCTCCCATAGAAGTCGGGTCGGGAAGTTCAACGAGGCGTGCTCTGCGTGCTCTGTGTGCTGTATAGCCATGTATGTAGAAAGCTATAGAATCATAAACCATCGTTTGACTTTTAATGCCGTGCAATCAATACTTAAAAATCAAATATTTATAACGATACCATTGTCATAGGTAAACAGCATCGTACAGAATATTAAGGCCCGTTCACACCGAAGCAGTGGAATGGCGCAACTATGAAGGCAGTTTTCAACGGGTTTGGTTTTGGGCAACTCTTTTGGAGAGTTCACTAGCTAATTCTTATATCACCATCTTCTGTCTCAGAATAGAATTAGATTGTCGTTTATTTGTAGAGGCAACTTAAGAGGGGTTTGTAGCTCAGTTGGATGGATAGCTTGGAATCATATGACGTCATTTTTCCTATAGCGTCGGGAGACTGGAGTTTTGAAGGGAATAAATTTGCTTTACCAGCCGATTAAACCCAATATCCGCTACCCCTATCACTAACAGAATGAAAATATGACACACATTCGTCTACAAACAAATAAAAGAGTGAAAGTGTTAAGCGCATGTCAATGTCTGAACGTCTTCTCTCAAGTGAATAATCACATGATGATCATGTGATGAGACCAAAATGGCCGCAACCATAGTAGAAGTTAATAAACATGTTAATTATAATTATCAGCTTTAACATCCACTGAATTATCACCATGGAAACAGTTTGTTGTTGGACTAAAATATCTAAGCATATCTAGGAACAATTATGAGCCTTAAAGAGATACAGGCCCAAAATTGTATGGTTAAGATACCAGCTGAGAGAGTTCAGCTTTCGGTATCCAAACGACTTTTCAAATGAAAGTCCAACATCCGGCTCTTCAACAAATAAATAAAAATCTACCGGAAGTGATGATAGTTTGATTTACCAGACTGTAAGAAATCCTCACAGATATTACTGACATTCTAACGTCATTATTCTTCCTGTATTTATTACATTGTAGGTGTACACGATTTCGAATTTGTTTTCTTTCTGCAAAGTATTACGGGTAGTTGGAATTTTAAGAAAGATTTAAGAAAGATTTTTACTAAGTTACTTTATTAACAGGATACGCCAAAGGATCAAGAAATGTAATGGATGTTCTGCGAAAAATTAAGTGATTAAATCCCTCTAATACCTCTTTTACGAAGTTACTTTATGTTTCATGCGTCAAAGGAACAATATGTATAATGCGACCTTTACTGTATTTCAGATATATGTGTTGAATCACCACATTGCCACAGATCTACCTGGTTCTTACCTGTTTTATTACAGCCAGTCTACATGGTGATTACTTCCAGTCCGGATTATTAGGTAGGTTCGTAACCTTCATTTTTGGGTCGTTAGGTTCAAAACCTAAGATTTCAATTTAGTTGTAAGGTAAAGAGCTCGTAACCTTCAAAAGGTGGTTAGGTTTGAAATCTTCAATTATGCATGGCGATTACTTCCAGTCCGGATTACTAAGTTCGTAACCTTACTTTTTAAGTTCGTTGGGTTTAAAATCTTCGATTTATATCGGTGATTGGGTTCAAAACCTAAGATTTTAATTAAGTGGTAAGATTAAAGGTTCGATACCTTAGATTTTTTAACGTGGTTAGGTTCGTAACCTTCAAAAGGTGGTTAGGTTTTAAACTTGTTATTCTACATGGCGATTATATCCAACTAGGTAAGCTCTAAACCTTCAACCAACTAACGGTCAGCATTGAAATGAACGTCATCTGAAATTGTTCACCATCAACGATTCTTTTCAGGTATTCAAAGGCCAGCGAGGTTTGACTAATACCCAACAGAGTTAACAATGAATGGAAATGCACAGTATGGATCAACCAAACACTTGGGTAAGATTTTCGATTTTCCTGTGTAGCAAGTTCACTTACGTTGCTAGCGATACTTTGTAAGGAGAAATATGTGTCTTAGTAGGCTCAATTGTATGGACAGTAGAGGAACAACTTCGAAACAAACATTTAAGGTTGCACCAAACTTATTGGTAATCTTTAAACATTTGTGGATGTAAACGAAATCCATCCCCATGAGGCTGTAAGCTATTCTGACCATTCTGAACACAGAGACCTACCAAGTGCCAAGAAATGTACTCTGTGTCTTTGAGCTTTCATGTTGAGATGTAGAGCTTGTGTCAGAGAATGGCATGCAAAGTGAACATAGACATGCATTTCCAGGCCATTTCGAGTCGGACATTTATTTTCGTATGCTTTTTTGACGCAATTTGCTCACTTGACTCAAGCTCCGTTTGACTCATCAGGCAATTATAAAATACCATAGCCTTAGAGTTTCATTCTGATGCTAATGTCTGCTAGCTCGACTGCGCTCTCTGGAAAATTCATAATTTTTTTTTTTTTGCTTTTCAGCACCCCCTGCTAGTGTGACGGTGTCATGGGCGTGGCCAGTACTACACAAACTAGCGCTATTTCACATTGCCCCTGCTGGACTGTCGATATTAATGGGCTTTATAACAATTTATGAAATAAAAAAGAACGAAGTAGTATTCAACTTTAACACAGCAGCGCCACTATCTGTAGGATTCTTGGTAAGTATTGAAATCATGACGTCATCACCATGCCCACGCCTATCCCGTAGCCAAGCCAACCAAAAACACGGAAGGAACTCTTTTACGGATGATGTCTGCTTGATCATGCTGTTCTAGTGCGAATTGCCAAATGTCTTAGGATATTTTGATTGAAATATAAATGCAACAATCTCTTTAACTAAATTGGTTGGTGGTCGATTGCTGTTCTTCGGTAGTAGAAAGTCAGAGTTACGCGTCTGAAACTGACTTTTTACAGCCGGAAGAAGGAAGGACCATCGACAAGTAGAAGGGTCTACCAAATTTGCCTTTCGATAGAGTGCCACTATGTCGTTCTTTGATAAATTAACCCCATTTCGCACTGCAAAAAGTAACTTTAAAGTGCAGAAAAAAAATTGTGGAACAATGGAATCAAACAGACCGTAGGTGTGCCCCTTTAAGATCCTTAACAGAAAATCTTATGACGTAATTTGAATTTCCTATGATACATATTTGAATAATATACTATACAGTATAGTGGTAATAATTATCGATTGACGAAGTCTATTGTATTTTATTTCAGTGTTTACTCTCAGCTGCCTTTCTATTCGCTGAATGTATCCTGCAATTCAGAAGTAATTCCATCGAGAGAAAGTTGACTCCATTGGTAATATATTATTTATTTATCACTACTATTCCTTGCTTTTATTTTACACACCACCATTTTGAATGTGCAATGTGTTTTGAGCTTGGGATAGATGCACGTAGGAATACGAATGGGAACTTTTAACCCAAGGAATTTTTGCCTTAGTAAAAAGTGTTTACGAGCTAAAAATCGAATGCACTTTCGATTTTTTTTATTTTCAAAAGGGTTTATCTTTGGGTGATTACAAATATTCACACCGATTTTCTTCAAAATCCGTCAAGAATTGTGTCTTCTAGAGCGTTTACGAGCTTAATTTGAACGCGTTTTCAGGAACAAGGGCAATTAGTCATACTAAATATTTTTTCAATAGGGTTCATCACACCAAGTTTCGTCAAAATCCGCAAAGAATTGTGCCTTCAAAAGTGTTTACGAGCAATTGTGGACGGGGGGATGGGTGGACGGGATGGGCGGACGACCGACAGACGAACATGGGTGACGCCAATATACCTCCCCATTTCATATTTGCGTATAAAAATCTTTCAAAAGGGATATTATTATATGAAACAAACTTCTGTAACAGCGGAAGTGACGACATATGAATTTGATTGGTTGAAGTACCTCCACTTTCTGATTTTCCCAAAACGTTTGATATAAATGCATTAGAATTTCTAAAAACTTAAAATGTGGTAATAGTACTAGACGTAATACGGAACTTGCTAGCTCTAACCGCTGCCGTTTGTTAAGCGATAAAAATCAATTAAATTATAATATAAAGAGAATGGAGACGTTACGTCTGTTTTGTTGTGAGAACAATAGCCTCGATTGTTGATCCACCTACATTACATGTTATTAGTGAGGAATTAAACAAACATTACACAATGAATTATTCGCTCCATTACATTCCATTACATCCCACGATAAGATTTTTAGAATTTGCTTTCTAAAGCCCGGATCACATGGACCGAATCATTGATTTAACGTCGTTAATGCGTCGACATGGCGCCAGTCTGCGCTCGCTTAAGCCCACGCCGGGGATAAGTGCTTGCTTGCTCTATTCATTGTTTCATTAATTTTTTTCAGATATGGTTCCACTTCCTAGCCGAATTCATAGTCGTAGCTTTGTGTTTGTGGACAACCTTATGGAACGTTTCCGGTTTGTGTGTGTCGGAGTTATCCCTCTCTTCAAAATGTCCTGAAGCCGTAGCAGACGACGACTCTCACTTGTTAGCCGTCATCGACTTCGTCGTAATCCTGTGCGTCTGCGTCAACAGCATGGTTTGTTTCGTTGTCAAGCTATATTACCGTCACGACCTCGGTTTAGCCATAGCAACGGATCAAATTTTAGCCAATCAAAAACAATTCGAAACAAATTTGATTCAGATGAATATAATGAAAGGATCTAAGTCACGTGACCGGATATCGTTAACTGAAAATGATCAAAATGGCGGCTACAACCAAGACTATCATTATCAACAATAAGAATTTTGAAAATTATCTTTGAGTGTTATACGATTTGATCATTTGAAAATGTGTGGATGACCTTAGTTTTCGATTAATTTCGTTTCGTGATGAACTATTCCTGAATTTGAGTAAAGGCTACCTGTAAATATTTAAAAAAAACACAACGCCACGAAAGAACAATAAAGCATTCTACAATATACAATAGTTTATTTATTTCAAATGAATATTATAAAGTTTAAGTATTAAGTAATGTAGTATTCTGTGTTTTTTTTTTATCTATTTTATCATATATTAAACTAAAATTCGGAAATAAATTTTCCTTAAAAAAACTGTTCAATGACAAAAAATGGAACGAATATATGGAATTGTGAATTAAGAATAATAAAAAATTTCTATTTGAAATTGTTGAAAAAATGATATTTTTTTGTGACTTAAAAAAAATAAAAACCTTTGGTTTAGAAAAAAGGGGTTATTTATAAAATATGACAATAAAGTTTTATGGTCGTCATTTTTAGCTGGTTTTAAAAAGACAATAAATGGGGCTGTTAGGCCTATATGAGAGAAAATATGTTATGGGCTTGCCGTAAGTAGTAATGTGTGAGCCCCGTACCCAACTCCTTTCTAGTTTTAAACTTATTAAATTTAGCCTATTTTGGAGTAGGCCTATAAGTATCTGTGGTCAAGAAATTGATGTATTCGAAGAGGTTTGATCAAGGGCCAGCTGGTGATCCGGATTGTCGAGAACCTACCCAGCTAAAAAATACTACATCCGGCCAGAGCCGGTTGTCAGGCCTTGACCAGAACTGATCGCGTCATGCTAAATGTGGCCCAGATGAGTATTGCGATCTGGGTAAGTTTTATCCTTGTTACAAAATTGTTATTTTTTTTCTTTTGGGGTGAAATCATTTTTTTAAAGTAGCTCCTTTATGCATTCTCTGGTGACAATAGTCGGTTGGCCCCCTTATCTTAAAGACTATTTGGGAAAGCTACTGTGTTTCATCTCTTTTCCAAAACGTTTCCACAGAAGGAAGTCGACCTCAATTTCAACTGTATTTTGGCGGGAAAATTCAGTCGTCATGTCAACTGTCAACCATATCGTAACTATAGCAACTTTCCAAAAACACAATTAATGCAATTAGTTTGTCTATGTTTCAATAGTGGGAGGTGAATCCCACGTATAATATCCATTCTCCACTGACTGCACGTTTTTATCCACGTCTTCCAAAACATCCGGGTAATCTTCGCCGCCATTTTGTAATCGAGAGTAACAGTCGTCTCTCAGTGCGAGTTGAAACGATGGCTCCTTCCTATCCGACATGGAAATACGCTCGTATAAATTGTCCCGACGGATCAAAAATCCAACTCCGAGATTTTTCTGGCAAAAAATTAGCAAACAGAAGTTCACAAGCACTGTTATAAAGAGCAAGATATCAATGGCGATATTGAGAGCACCCAGAGTTATGTCCCTTTTGTCGTCTGACATGCAGATGATTGACGAGAAGGCATCACAGATTCCAAGGCTGAAACCTGTGTACATTGGTACAAGCAGCAACACACAGGTTCCAACTATGACGTATGTGACCACCTGAAAAGGCAAAAATTGGCAGATGACTGGCGTTGGCAAGTATATATTTTGAGCGGGAACAAGAAATAAAGGTTATATACGACTCAATGTATTTAAACTCAAGGATGAGTCCCATATCCGGCGTCGTTGGAAACTTTCTAACATGCTACACAATCCAATATTTTCTAGTGATGTACTGTGTTACTGGTCGAGATCTGTAAGGCCTGTATTAGTCCGAAACATCCGCCTCTATTCCTGTTAAGTAGTGTGAACGTTGTCGGCTTGACTGTCAAAATTGCTATCAAATGCTGAAATAGAGTCAGATGTCTCGGACTAGACCTGCATGTAAGCTATACATGAATACATTTAGCCAATATCTAAACATACAAGTACCTGTACATGAACAGTTTTATCTATTCGCTCTACTCTAAACGCTGCATTACCGATGGCAAACCCAATAAAACCATTCACAACTCCCTGCAACGAAGACAAAACCATTTACAAGCAATAACAAGGGAGGCAACTATCTTTACTGATGTCAGTTTATTTGGTGTATGTGGTCCGTAGTCTAATGAAAGAAAAACTTCACATTTTTATCAATGGTTGACAACTGTTGAAATGTAACGGAGTTTTACGTCCTACCTTTCTGCATCTTATTCTTAGTTGGCTTATGAAGACGGACAACGTCAGAAAGTGTGCAAAGAGGGAAATTTTGCAAATACAGCAACATTAGTATACTCTTTTCGATTTCCAGCTGTCGAAACATATTTTGGATTCTGTAAACCACGGTGGCTCGGTGAGTTAGACGTCGTTCACTAACCTGAAGGTCCAGGGTTCAAAAGAATATGGGCCCTTGGTGTCTCGGTCGCTCAGTCCGTTAGACGGTTGTTTGCTAACGATATACTTGCCCGAGGTCACGATTGCATTGTAACTTACCATAGCTCCAATAAGTATAGGTGTGACAGTAGCGAAGTTGAACCTGGGAGGTGTTCTAACTAACACTATAGACAACAGAGAGACCAGTATAGTCAACACACTGAATGGTATGTGTAAACAGCTCACAGTTCTAAATCCCCGCACCACCCGCAACCTCTTAGCTTCTGCTTCAACTATAATAAACATAACCAAAATCATTAGTATTAGCTATCCGAAAGGGCTATCGATTTCATTTCCCTAGTTTCAGAATGGCATCAGGTGTTGAGCATAGCGTGAGCATAGCTTGCTTCTCTTTGGACTTCGAGATTAAAGCTACCAGATTCAAAGAAGACATTAAGAAGGATCTTATTGCCACAGTGTCGGAGCCAAAGGGGTGGGGGGAGATACAGAGGTGTCGCCCCCCTCCTCCTCCCTCGCAGCCCCGAAAGCAAGTTTTTTTCGGGCAAAATTCTCATAACTAAGTTAGAAATTCGGACAATATCAAATATTTCGTCCCCCGGCCCTTCGGACGTAAAACTGGCTCTGCCACTGATTCGCCAGCAAAGAAATGAAGATTTTGGAAAAACCAGAAGATAATGTCTCGAAATGTCTCCTTACATACAATTACCATCAATACTTTGGAACTCGTGAGATTCGAGGCATCTTTCAATAGAAATTCACTGAGCACGAAATTGAATATCTCAGCTAACCCAGGGATATAAGAATCAATGCGAATTATGAAAGAAACGCATATGCTTACCGACGCTAGAATTCTCTGTGTTATTTGGAATGATGTAGGCGTGGCCATCTTTTAATCTTTCAGCCATCTTGGATTTTTTGTCTTATTTCAAAATCTGCGATATTAATTTTCCATTATCTAAAAGAAAAAGAAAAAAGTGCAGTAAAGGTTTATAGCACAGAGGCTAAAGTTGAATGTCGATTTAACCTTATCACTTTCAGAAAAGAAATCTCACTTCCAGTTTGTATACAATTAGATAAAAGCAAACAGCTTAAGCTTCTGAAGATATTAGGCACGTAACTGAAGTTGGAAGCAGTGGCGGAGCAAGGTTTGCGTCCGTGGCGGCAAAATATCTGAGATTGCCCGAATTTCGAATTTAGGCGATTTTTGTCCGCAAAATTTGCTTTCGGGCTGTGAGGGGAAGTCGGAACATTAAATGAACAGTATATTAGTCGTCGTTTTCAAATTCATAATGAAAAAATATTCCAATGTACCCGCTTTTCAGCGAAATTGGGAGATTTGGCTAATGCCATTGTGGGCGTATGTTGTATTCGCTGACAAAGCTATCTTTCTACTTGTAATATGATAAAATCTACTGTGTTGAATCAAGCCATTTATCTATTAAGACTATCGCAGGGTCTGGTATCCACACCGTAGATACTAGAAACATTTCCGAGAAAAATCAATACTTTGATGTCTTTATTGGCGGTGAATCAGATAGAAACAGGCTGGTATGACGCATTCACTAGATGTCTTATCCGTGATGGAAACGATAACACTATTCCGAGAATGGCTTTGGAGTAGGCTACTATAGAGATGGCGAGCAGTGACATTTCACTGAATCACTAAGGCCAAGAAGGGGCTTAAGAATTGTCAAGGGGGGCTCATAACACCTTATGATTAGGAACTTGGGAGTGGGAGGATGGACGCCAGGCCAGCCTACTTTTTAAGGGATAGGTGGGTAGGGCGTGGCCCCTCATCGACACGCCCTGAACCGACAAATGGCCCACCCTTCGGTAGTTGTTGGTATGCTCCAGAAAAGAGCAAAGTAAGGAAATTTACAACCAATACGGTAAATCGATAATATAAATTTCTCTCAAACGCATATGCATAAAATATTGCCTATAAACGATAAGAAAATGAATAAAAGCAATCTTATTAAAAGTTAGTGTCATTTATCTTACTGAGTTGTCCGCAGTATATCAGAGAAAAACGGAAAAACGAAATTGTAATCTTATTTTGATTAGATTGGAATAAACGTAAGAACCCAGATCAGACATATAAAGCTCCTTCTTGACAGCTTTGATTGGTTGAAATAACGTCATATTGTTGCGACTGCAGTTGAAAACTTGTTAAATTACAATGTAGCCGAAATATAATAGAAAAAAGCAATCTAGTTTTAATGAGATTGGAATAAAAGTAAACCAAGGCGAGTTCACAGATCTTGTTTGACGGTTTTGATTGGTTGAAATAACGTCATATGGTTGCAACTGCAGTTGAAAACTTGTTAGATTACAATGCAGCCGAAAAATAACAGAAAAAAGCAATCTAATTTTAATGAGATTGGAATAAATGTAACCCAAGGCGAGTTCTCAGATCAGGCATAGATAGATTGCTAGTTTAATCAATATCCATAATGCATTGAAAGTAATTAAACTTACATTAACCGAGTTACATGTCAAACTTTCGCTTGATTATAGCTAATATAAACCTTAATATTTATGTGTGTCATCAAAGGGAGCTTTGATCACAGAAATTGTGGTCACGGGATATCGATCTCAATGAAAATTGGTCACGGGTAAATCGATCATAGTAATATGGTAACACTGAAAATTTGGTCACAAGTTAAACCGGTCATAGTAATATGGTCACAAGTTAAACCGGTCATAGTAATATGGTCACAAGTTAAACTGGTCATAGTAATATGGTCACAAGATAAACTGGTCATAGTAAATGGTCACAGGTTAAACCGGTCATAGTAATATGGTCACAAGTTAAACTGGTCATAGTAATATGGTCACAAGATAAACTGGTCATAGTAATATGGTCACAGGTTAAACCGGTCATAGTAATATGGTCACAAGTTAAACTGGTCATAGTAATATGGTCACAAGTTAAATTGTTTATGTACACATGACACTAGACATATTGGTCACAGTTATATGGTCAAAGATACATGTAAATTGCCCACATGGTTGGGTAAATTGGTCACAGCAATAGGGTTACAAGGTAAATTGGTAACAGCAATATGGTTATAAGGTTAATTGGTCCTGCCAATATGGTTACAAGGTAAATTGGTCACGGCAATATGATTACAAGGTAAATTGGTCACAGCAATATGGTTACACGGTAAATTGGTCACAGCAATATGGTTACACGGTAAATTGGTCACAGCAAATTGGTCACAAGGTAAATTGGTCACAGCAATATGGTCACAAGGTAAATTGGTCACATCAATATAGTCACAAGGTAAATTGGTCACATCAATATGATCGCAGTGTAAATTGGTCCTGCCAATATTATATGGTTACAAGGTATATTTGACACAGGTTACAGTGTAAATTGGTCCTGACAATATTGTTACGACTTGACAACTCAAATGTGCGACTACATTATATGGCAACAACCTTACGGAAAGGACTTGCGTGTTTATCTACACGTTTACGTTGTAGCATCTATTACAAATACGAAACATTGCAAGCCGAACACAAATTCAAATGTATTCATATTGATATACGACGAACATATCGTGCCATACTCTTCCATTCATAATCAAAACATATACAATTACCAAATATGGACATGCAGTAATCAAATGAAACGTACCTGTGTATGCACCAAAAACGTTGAAATTCTTCCAAAATATGGAATCGCAGGAATCAGAAAATGTCAAGAATATTCCACAGGATCTGACAAATATTATATGCCTGTTTACAAACATACAGCGCCCTCTAGAATGTACTAATATTAATTATTGATTGGTTCTGGTCTTCAGAATTCCAGGAACTTGTCGTCTGCTTGGTGCCTCTGACTCTACACGCGGAGTGATATCGACTTTTGTTAGAATCATCTCTATGACGAAAACCTCGTAATACGCTGTAAACGGTGAATTATTCATTGGAAGAGTAGTTCGCTGAGAGGCTTCATATAGCTGTGGAATGAAAGAGTGTTTGACATGCAAGGGATAAAAGAGTCGAGGACTCGTAATACCTTATAAGCATTTGGTCGAAACCTCAATATTTACTGCTTTTTGAACGTTATTCGTTTAGCACCGCAGGAAAATAAAGGGTGCTTTAATTTCATGGACTATCTGGGACGCGCGGATCGATGGCCTTCCACTATGGCTGTGCTCCTTAAGTTTCACAATTTCTCCCATTGCACACTGCATGGCGTTGTCTGTCTTTATCAATCAGTATGGAGCAGAGAGTGTAATGACATTAAAGTCCATTACATATTATTTTTACCCCAAATACCATCATCTTTGTAGAGGTATAAACCCTTTAACCCCAAATATGAGTCCTCAAATTGAACATTTCGTTCACACGAAAATGTTCAGCTCCCTTCTTATGCCGAGTGTTATTAGAATGGTTCTAACTACATTGAGCAATTCTTTGCGCGTGTATCGCTCATAAAAATAACAATCTTGGATTCAAAATGATGTAAATGGACGTATGTTTGGAACCTTCGGAATCGTGCCGTGATCGTCTAGTGTCATGTCGTGACTCTTCATCGTGACAACCCCGTGACAGAAGCTTTATTATGAAAATGTGGTTCCATTTGTGAATGAAATCGTACAAGACAGCTGCTGCCAAGGGCTTCGGAGATTTCAGATCAATAGACAGAAATGTTCAAGACCTGCAAGTAAATTCCGTTATTTTCTTCTTTTAACTCATCTTGGAAAGGCTTTGGGGTTGTTTTTTCTTTTGAAGAAGGGGGTCGGGGGGGGGGGGGGGGGGGGGGGTTGTTACACGCCGGTATGAGTCTTGAAAGCATATAGGCCATGGCATTAGAATTGTATTTACCTTAAAGGAATTCAATCCTCGTCATCTAATGGCATAAAAGACAGCCCAACTCCAACCTGCAGGACTGTCCCAGTTCTAGGTTTTCGCTTTGAAATAATTGAATCAAGGAGTTTTTGCGTTGACAGGTTCTACACATTGTTCGGCTGTGAAAAGTTTCCTTTGAATACGTGTTTTGGTTTTTATTTGACAATTTTTATTGCATTTATTATTTATGTGAACAAATCATTATCTTTAAAGAATTCGGTCTATGTTAAGTTGCGATACGAAACCGAAAGCAAAGTTAAGAGCCCAAAAGGTTTCCCCAAATTGGAGAGCCCCAAAGAATGATCTATTAGTGGGAAGTCACGTGATACTTGTAAACATCCAAAATGGCAGCCTACAAGGCCAGGTAAGATTTTCACTGGAAAGAAACGCCCCTTAAAAATATGCAAAATAAACGACATACTTTTGGAATTTGTTTAATGAATTATGTTTTATATTTTTAGACTAGAGCAATTTAAAAAACTGTTGTCGCAAGATGAAATAGATTTGAAAAGAGTGCGAGAACTCACTTTCGAAGGTAAACAAACTTTCAATTTGTAGCCCTACTTTATGTTGAATGGCGTTGTCTTCGTGTAACATTAAATACAGTATAAAAATGGTTTCTTTTGAATTTTAAACCACTGTTTAAAAACAAATATAACCCTTTTATGAAATTAGGTGAAGTTATTCAATTGCATGAAATACCCCATTCCAGGGGTAGAGGTTGAAACTCAACATTGGACCAATCCTCGGAAGCACTGCCTATGGCATCATAATCCAATTTGCTTGAAAGTGAGCTATTCCATTGTCAAAGGGGCAGATAAGTGGACTTCAAACCAAATCTAGAATGCACGGGCCATGCCAGGTGATTATAATTAGGGTGTATTGAGACAGACAAGTCTCAATGGAAGCACTGGCCTAGGTCACAGAGATAGCATTAAGATAACATGACAGTCCCCAACAACCCAAGCAGATTTTGATAATGACGATATATTCTATTTGTGTTCACAGGATGTCCATTTGAGAGTGGCTACAGATCTACATGTTGGAAGGTAAGTTTCATGATTGTCATTGTGAATTATCAAGTTGTGGGTGGGGGAGGGGATCTGTTTTTTCCAGGACTAACCCTTGATCCATCAAGCCAGACTTGGCAGTGAGTAAGAGTTATTAAACTTTAGAATTATTGTCGTGTTTAAATGGGTTGTCAAAAATTTTTTGAATTTTTAAGTGATGTCTCCATTGCAAACGTTGCTTACAAAGTCTAAGGTTGCAAGTATCACAGACATGAGACTAAAAATTTGGATTTTTTTTTCAGTTGTTACTATATCATTTACCAAAGAATAGAACAGAATGGAAAACACATTTACATAGACAAAGGTAGTATTACGAAATAAATCTTATATCAAGGTAACCAGAAGGTCCAGGGTTTAATTCCTGCATAGATCAAGATAATACCTTCAGATTTTTCAACCTGAATGCCTGTTGTTGATGCAGGACAGAATTGGAAAGAGCGTCTAGTCGTTTGAATGGAACAATAAACTGAGGCCCCATAATGCTACAGGCTGTGCACGTTAAAGATCCCTCAAAGAGTAGGCTAATGCCACTGTCCAGGCAAAATTTCCCTCATTGCAGACTGCATGGCATTGTCTATTGGATGTAAAACTCCATTTCATTTCTTGAACTAGACATTAATTCAATGTTTTTTTGTTTAATTATAGAACAAGTTATAAACAGTTTATCAAAGAATTAATCATTACACCAGGTGAAAAAGCTCATCTTGGTGCTCTCTCTGATGGTAAACTTGAAGATCATGTAAGTTTCAACTTGTCACTGACAATCTGGTAAACCTTGATATTCGTGGGAACTGAATATTTATCATGCAAAAAAAAGACTGGATACAACTTCTCCTTCTTTTAAACAGTAGACAACCCAGTCTTGCATAGGCAATGACTGGCCCAAAAGTGAACGAGGGCAAAAATGGAAGCGGATTGCTTTCAATCTGACATCAGTTGTTTCCGTATTTCCAGATGAACCAGAGCTAAAAAAGATTGTGATAAACTCAATCACAGAGTGGCAGCAGGTGTTGAAGAAGGATCAGCATGCCCTTCTTAGCATGTGACACTATATGCTTATTTTATTGGATTGCTTTTTTGTAGCCTTTGAACCCAAACCCAGAAAGTCAGTGGGGAGTCCAGTTTAAAGACAATGATATGCTTATGCAGATTGACAAAGACTGCAGGTAAGAAACATCATACTTTTCTGTACCTGATGGGGTTCATGAAAACAACACCATGCAGTGTGCAATGAGGGAAATATTGTTAGGAAAGCTGCATTAGCCTACTCTGTTACGATTTCCAACTTTTCAAGGGATCTTTAATGAAGAAAGATTGTAGCACCAAACACTTAGTTTATCGTCCAATCAGAAAAAACTAAAAGCTTTCTCCTTCTGAATCCATCTGATTTGCTTCCAGTGGTGGCACTGGTAGGGGTACAGAAAGAGCATTTACCCCTCTAGAAAAGTGGTTTGCACCCCCACTTTATTTTCAACAAAAATGTCTACCTTTTTTCTCTAAAATATGTGTCAGAATGCACAAAATCAATTCATTTTTGTAAAATATTCTTGAGAGAACCCTCTAAGACACTCTATGAGAGGTTTGCGACTATGACACCAACACAGAGTAGCCAAAATTTGAATTCAGCCTCAACAGTTGTCCCCCCATTGAGTCAGTCTGCCCCCTATTTGTACCCCCAGTCTCGGAAGGCTGGTGCCGCCACTGTCTGCTTTACTGAAAGGGGGAAAATAACAAGTAACAAGTAAGTAATGGGTTACCTCGATTTTTTTTATTCTAAAGCTATGTTTTTTCTCTCTTTGCAGGAGGCTTTGCCCAGATCTTTCATTTTTTCAAAGTGCCACAAAGTTTCCGTGTGAGGAGATTACGAATGCTAAATCTACAGTAGAGACATTACGGAAGAGAGTTGAACATACAGTATTAAAATCAGAATCAGTCTCACGAAATAGACTGGGAATAACCAATGTAAGTATTAAGAAAGCAAAAACAAGATTTTTAAAAATGAAATGAAATGGAGTTTTACGTCCTACTTTTCTGCACCATGTGGGCTAATGAAGACGGGCAACGCCATGCAGGGTGCAATGAGGGAAATTTTGCCAGGACAGCGGCATTAGCCTGCTTTTTTTCGATTTCCAACTGTCAAGGGATCTTTAACGTGCACAGCCTGTAGCACACGGGGCCTCGGTTTATTGTCCCATCCAAACGACTAGACGCTTTTTATACGTCAGCCCCTCGTACCTGCATCACTGACAAGAGAAGATTTTTAAAAGAATAACAACTTATGGTTCATGGGGGTCCTGTCTTTCAGCTGGTCCTTGATAAAAACTCATAGATCGTTTTATGTTGCATGTTTAGAATTAAAACAAATTGATTTCCACGTATGCCAATTAAAATATTAGGTCCGGACAGAATTAGAAATGGCGGAAAAGGAAATAGATGGAAAAATTTGAAAATCTTGAATGTGACATATTCGAAACCTGTTCAAAACTTTCCAGTCTTTTTGACTTTCTGATTTTTGAAGATGGGTAACACTATGTCTATTTTTAGATGCAGTCAACAAGAAGAAGAACACAGAGTGATGAGTATGCTGTATTACCTGATGGACAGGAAGCTCATTGGGAAGTGGTAGAAAGAATTCTATTTATATATGCCAAGCTTAATCCTGGCTTAAACTACGTCCAAGTAAGTTTGGTATTTTTACTTTATTTTTCCCAAGAAAGTGCCAGAATGGCATCTGGACTGACAGACGGATATGGGTGATGTCAGTATACGCTTCTCATTTCGTGTGGGCGTATAACAAAATAACAGTATTTATGATAAATGTTTTATTTTCAATAGATCAAAAATGTTTGTGTTAACAAAAAAGTAAACAGCATTAAAGGGGCATTCTGCTTTTTTGTAAAACATTTTCATTATCAAAATTATCGTAAATTATACCTGAAAATATTTCTAAATTATGCTATTTATATCTATGTATCTATTTGATCAAACTGAATTTGTTTTAAAAGGGTTAATTGAAAACAGAGAGTACTAATTGTTAATTAAGCAGTTTGACTTAGTTTTGGTGTTTGGCTTAATAATGGTTCGATATTTTTAATTGAAACCTGTAGAATACATAGGAGACATATTTCTCTACAATTAGCATAACAAACTTTAAGTTTATGTAAACTTTCTAAATAGTTTTGGCGTTAATAAAAATTAATTTTTTAAGTTAAAACTTTCAGATACGATAAGGGAAACATTTTTCAAGATTTTGGTTTCCCAGTTTTGAGCCAAAAAGTTTTTCGACCTACAACAAAAGCGGAATGTCCCTTTAAGTTATACAGACTTAACTTACATTAGGCGTTTTTGTAGGCCGATTCGATTTGATAGATTAGCTACCTTTGTGTGCACTTGTAATCTAATTGAAATGGCACCAAATCATACTAGCAAATCAAAACCAAATCAATTTGTCCGACAAAAACGCCTCTAGTGTTGATTACTATTAAAACTACTTAAAAATAAAAATGGACTGCTCATGTATATATTTTGGATTGATCCTGGATGTGCAGGACTATAATTCACCATCAATAATTTCCAAATATTAATTAATTAGTACTAATGAATCAGATTAACGTAGATTTTAGGGTGTTTTATAAATCATCAATGACTGACTGAGGAGAAAACCTGTAGGATAGAAGATCTTCAGGTGATATCCTGATGAATTTGATCAGTTTCCCCAAGGTTTCCACATCAGCAATAGCATTATCTGCATCATAGGTAATATCAAGCAAGGATTTTGCAAGATCTACTTGTTTGTGAGACTGGCCAGGATAAAGTTTCCAAAAAATCTTCCATGAATCAATAAGATTAGTAACATTGTTTAGAAATAGATCAACAGTGTTGGTATTAACAAAAGCTGAAGCTATAACTGGAAAATCAAATTTTCTACCGTAATGAGCAACTAACACTACATTAGGAAAATTTTTCAACCATTTAAAAAGTTTCTGGATAGCAATTGTAATGGATACATGTTCAACATTCTTGCCATGTACTGTCATGATGCCATCTTCAGTAACTTTGGTACCGTTAACTTCTTCAGCTCCTGGAGATATTGGAACTTTAGGAAGAACATAGGTAGAAAATAATTTATTGGAATCTAATTCACTGGCAGCAATTTGTGTGATATGTGGAATTTCTTTATTTTCTTTATCATCTGCAATTAAATAAGAACAAAATATTACTTAAACATTCCTAAAGAAAGCTTGCCAGGCAAGGTAACATACGCCCACTACCAGCTGTCAGAAATGATAAAACAGTCTGTAGTGGTCTAATATGTGAAATCAATCATCCCATTGTTACTAATTTCAAGCTTTACTAAGGCCCTACTCGTTTACAACCAATCTGAAACTGGATTCCAAAGATGTGTTACTCGTTTACAACGGTTTGCCCTGAATTCGAATCCGTGAATCCACCTCCTAGGGCAGATTCGTCGGATTCAAGATGGGGTCATTCATAGGGCACTTATAATTTTAAATTAGTCTTGATTTTCAAATATGTTTCACTCGTTTACAACACGATTCTGATGTCCCAAACCGGTTTCGAATTTTTTGTAATCGAGTAGGGCCTAAGGTCTCATACCAAGTTTCATCAAGATTGGATAAAAAATGTAGTCTCTATCAGGCCTGTAAGCCAAATTAGACGGATTGAATTAATTCAAGGGCAATAACTCCAAAAAAAAAAATCATCCAATTATTGGCATTTTTGAACTGGAGATCAATTTATACATGCATACCAAGTTTCATCGAGATCAGATGAAAACTGCAGCCTTTATTGTGCATACAAGCCAATTTGAAGCGTTTTTACTAAGTCATGGGCAATAACTCTGAAACCTTTCTTCCGATTATAACCAATTTCGAACTTGACCGAGATTTCAACAATATATACATGCATACCAAGTTTTTCAAGATGAGATTAAAGCTGTAGCCTCTATCGTGCATACAAGAAATGTGGACGGACTGACAGGGGCGACGGCAACATGTGGTTGTGGTCGTATAAAAACCCAAAAAAAAAAAAAAATTGTAACTCAATTACTGAAGCTCAAATACGACAGGTTTTTGAATTTCAATTTGAAAAAATACTTTCAGCGAATTAAAAAATAGTAAATGACTTACAAAGGCCAGTTGTTTCCAAATCAAACATTATAAATGTCTGTTTTTTGGATGTAGCCATAATTATCTCTTTTCCACCCTGTAATAACGTAAAACAAAATATGTGTGACGATTTCTGACTGAAAGGGGCAGCCAATGAAATCATTACCCTCTCCAACGCTGGGATTTTGTGACACAAACAAAAGATGAATTCAGTGTCTAATGCTTCTCAAAACACAGCTTTTGTTCACGCTACGAAATCCAAGCTTTGGAGAGGGCAGGAATTTGATTAGCTGGCAGTGTTAATTAACTGACAAATGTTCAAGAAGGCTGTCTTTAGACCCTAACTGAAGTGACTACATTCAAAATAAAAATCAAATTTATGATAAAAATCAAATTTACCTGTTGAATATTTAACTTCCTGGTGTAATGTACTGGTTTTCGTCTGAAATCACAAATACCCTGATTATTAAAAAGGGAAAAATAAAGTTAAATTATTACCAAAGATGTCCTTATCCACAACTGCGCATATGACAAAGAAAATCATGTGTATTGAGAAACTTTATAGGGAAAGGCCTGCCATTTCTAAGAAATGATAATTTATCTCAGGTATTCAGTAATCACAAAAGGGTGCACTTGTTTTTTTAAAAGGGCAAAAATATTGCAAACCAGAAAATATTTTTGAAATATTCTATTGACATCTATGTATCTTCTTGAACTGAATTTATTTTAAAAAATATAATTAAAACAGAGTACTAATTGTTAATTAAGCAGTTTGACCTAGTTTTGGTGTTTGGCCTCATTAAGACTGAATATATTTCTCTACAATTAGGTGTTTATTTTGCTTAAATCCGTACACTAGTTATTTACACCTACCAAAAAGCATAATGAACTTGAGTAATTTTAAAAAATAGTTCTGGCTTTAAAAATTTAACGGCGTTTTTTTTTTAGTTAAAACTTTCATATATGTTTAGGGACATATTTCTCTAGATTTTGGTTTATAGTTTTCACAAAATTTTAGCAAAACCATTACAACCTATAATAAAATTGGAATGCCCCTTTAAGTTTGGGGACACGTTGAGACCTCATGTATAATTACTTCCTTTATTCATTTGTCAACCAGCCAGTACATGACTCATTAGAAATAAACCAGATCGAAATTACCTGGTATAATAAATCATTTCTAGAGAAGTCAAGGATTAATTCTTTGGAAGTTTTATTTAACTACACAGAAATAACACACACAAACATAGTTTACAGCCATTTTGAATCTCTACCTTGATCTTGTGCTTTGGCCCCCCCACTTTCAAATTTTATCATTTCCATAGTGAAAGAATAGCCTGTGGCCCCCCCCCCCCCCTGGATTTATTTTGTGGCCCTTGCCCGCCCCCATCACCTAATGTTTCCCAGAGATGCCTTTGATTCACTGTATCTATGGAAACTGTAAGTATATAACAGAAGTTCAGTCTTACCTGTTTCAGTAATATCCATGACAATCTTAAGGTCAGAAATATTTCGTTTCCAGTTCCATTCTGTAGGTAGACCTATTCTCCAGGTTTTAAGGTCTTCAAATAAGAAAGAGCTTTGAAGATAGCTTGCCAGGCAAGGTAATATACGCCCAATGGCAGCTTTGATTGTGAATAAAAATATTTGGCAGTACAGTAACAATCACCAGTATGAAATATTCAACCTTCAGTCATACTTTCAAACATTTTGGGTGATAATGAACAAAATGTCCCCTCTAGAGTGTTTAAAAGCTGAAATTGAACGTGTTTTCATGAACATGGGCAATAATTCTTATGAATATTTTCTAGTAATTGTGGACAGACGGATTGACGAACAGACTTGGGTGACGCCAATTCAAATCAATAAATATAACATCTGCTGAGAAAATTATCAAATATAAACTGCTAATTTGTTTGGGTTGGTAAACAAGTCGGTTGAAACTTGAAGATCGAATATGCTTATTTGTAGTTATCTCCCTTGATAGAATTTGAAAGCGTCGTAACAGAAATTTCAATGAACACTCCCAGACTATATCCTTGTCATAGACAGGTATAGTTTGGGCGTCAGAGACTATTTTATTGTCAGCTTTGTCTGATGGTGACAGATGGGCGCATTAATGTGTGGGCGTCTAAAAAGTGCCAAAAGCCTAACAAATTATGTCTCGTTCCTACTTTGAATTATATTGTTTGTATTTTGTAGGGTATGAATGAAATTCTAGGTCCTATATATTATACATTTGCTTCTGACCCAGATACAGAATGTAAAGGTAAGGTCTTGAAACTGTTGAAAACTATCAGGCTGTGTACAATGTTGTAAATTACATAAGATTTCCTTTGTAGGCTGTAAATTTCAAAACTACTTCTAACTAATTCTTGAAACTTAACTGATATAAAAATTCAGTTTTTTCTCTGAAAAATATACTAATCAAACGTAAAAAGAAATTGATCAATTTCATTGATTGACCAATCGGATGACTGGAACACTAAAACCATTCTTTTATACTTTAATCTGATTGGATAATAAAACTTAAAATTGATTTTAGTGATAGACCAATCAGATGGTGGGAAAACTAAGATCATCAGGTTTTTTTGAGAATTATGTCTAATTCATAAGAATTTAAAGATGGGTTCCCTTATTTTCATTTATGAATGTGTGTGTGTGTGTGCGTGGGAGGGGGGGGGGGAGGGGGGGGGGTTGTCTTCAAAATTTGCTGAACCGAAACGGAATTTAAATGCTCAAATCTGCAACATGAAAAAATGGAACGATTTAAGTTTGATAAAATTACTAAAAGAATTAGATACTGGAAGAACTAGTGGCCACAGAATTGCCAAATGAGGCTCACATTACCAGGCATTAAAGATGGGTTCCCCTATTTTCATTTATGAAAATGAAAATGCTAATACTTATATGAATAGAAAGTAGAGGTGTTCAAAAATACCAGTTTGTCTCACATGTCCATAATTAATTCATAATTAGCTAAATTAGAAGAGAATTACCAGCAGGATTCCAATGAGTGACCAATCAAAAAAGGACAAAAAGTCTTTTTTTGTTTATCCAGACTGTACATACATGGACATACATGTATATGATTGGTTAAAATTCTTAATTATATGCAATAAGAACATAATGATTTGATTAAGAATACATGATAATTCATTAGAAACATCTATTAATCAAATAGTTTGCTTAATTTGACTCTAAAAAATAAGGAAACCATCTTTAAATGACATATAAATCTTGTCAAGACTTTTTGTAGCTATATGGCACTCTATACAGAATGCGTTTTTTAAAATCCACAATTTAATTTCTTATTTTCTAGAATGGGCTGAAGCAGATTCATTTTTCTGTTTTACTAATTTAATGGCCGAAATTCGAGATCATTTTATTAAAACATTGGACGATTCAGATTGTGGTATAGGTTAGTATGTTTTTCATCGTCTCTTATTATATATTTCTACCATGTTTCACTTTAGCAGGTAAACCTCATATAAAGACTGAGATTATAAGTATTCATGATGTCAAACTATTTTATTAAAATACAATACTGAAGGCTGAAATTTTGAATGGTCCCATCCACGAAAATTGAGCCCATACAAATACAATTCACCATTTTGTCCTACAGGGTACTCAATGAATATGTTAATGGACGAGATTCGAATCAGAGATCCTATTTTAAGCCACCGTATGTCAGAACAAGACTTAAAGCCACAGTATTTTGCATTCAGATGGATCACATTGATGTTGTCTCAAGAATTTCCTTTACCAGGTTTGTATTCTTCATTTACAGGTATTCATGCCATTCGAATAACCTGCTTATTTATGACATCCAGCTTGCTAACATAAGTCCAGTTCAATCCGTCATAGGTCCAGATAATTTGCATTCAGCATTTGATCCAGAGCGACCAGTCTGTAACTTGAACGACCAGAATCACCTTATCGTGTGACAATCTCGACATAATTCTGGTAAATAATGACTGCCATTTAGAACTCTAGAACTCTGCTCTAGCAAAACTTCGGATGCCTTCGGATTTACGGAACTGTGGTGGCTCAGTGAGTTAGATGCTTGCTAACCCAAAGGTCTAGAGTTCAATCCAAGGATAGGTCAAGAAAAACCCTTAGGTTTGTTATTCCAGTTTCCCCCAACCGTTCAGTGATGCAGGTAAGAGGGACTGACATGGAAAAAGCGTCTAGTCGTTCGGATGGGACAATAAACAGAGGCCCTGTGTGCTACAGACTGAACACGTTAAAGAAACTTCAACAGTTGGAAATTCAAAAGAGAGGAGGCTGATGCCGCCGTTCTTACAAAGTTTCCCTCATTGTACACTGGAGGCTCTTGTCATTGAATTAGTATCATGTAACTGAATTTCATATCATTTCAGATGTGTTGAGAATATGGGATTCATTATTTGCAGATAAATTACGTTTTGATTTTCTGATCAAAGTTTGTTGTTCTATGTTAATGTAAGTCATCATTCCATCAGAAAATTATTTGTACTTTTTATAGAGACTTGGCCCCGTCATTAGGGTGGGGTTCGTGGGGGCTGGGGTCCGTGGGGGCTGGGCTCCAGCAAGTAGAATTAAGCCTCAGCAAAACCACCTTCACTTCTGCAGCGATTGCTTCATTTACAGTGTCTTTGTTCAAAATCAAAAAGATATAGATTTTGATACGTTTGTGGCATCAAAAAAGCGCAAAATCTAAGCCCCAGTACCAATTCATTCCTGGCGATGGGGCTGCCTACAGAGCTACTGGAATAAGTGAGCAGGTGATATATATACTAAGAATTCTATTGGTTGAAAAGTTGAAATTATTAGTTTAAACCAATGTAATATGATTATACAATATAAATTATGAAGAGTACATGGTAATAGATTGAATTGTGTTTCTTTTTTAGTTTATTAAGAAACGATATATTAGTCAATGATTTCCCCTCAAACATGAAATTATTACAGGTTGGTATTTTTTTTGTACTTTTTTCCACCAAAAAGTTTTTCTGCAGGACATTCATTTCGTTGAGAAAATTATTCAATTGCATTTGTATCAACTGCGAGACTAGAATGCTGCTAGTTACCGTCTTGAATTGAACATTGATTGCCATATTGAAAATAAAATAGTTCCGGTTGCTTCCGTTCAAATGACGGAATGATTATTTTTAGAATCAGAGTATCCAGTTTGTGTATCTTTAAGTATCAAGTAGTTAGTGTAGAATTTATTTTTTATATATACCATAATGAAACAACCAATAAATATTCATGACATTTTGTTATTGGAGTAAAATAATTTTTGTGAAAATGAAAATTATTTTGTCTTTTTTAATCTTTTTGAATTTTTTAATTACACAGTGATTTGACTACTCTATTCTAGCCAATCGAAATCATCACCGTTATCATTACCATTGGGTCATTTTTTTTTTTCGCATTTCAGAATTTTCCATATACCACTGTAGAGGTTCAGAAAGTATTGGCCAAGGCTGTAGAAATGGTTCATCGGTAGCACAGCTAGTTATTTTTATGTAAATTTCTGTTTTATATCATGTCGTGTTACTTGCGCCAAACAAATTTGCGAAACATAACTTTGGCACCAAAACTTGTGGAATATGATATGCCATTTTCAAATCAGAATAAACATTGGGCTCATGGAATAGTTCTGCAAATATACGAAAGCACCGGCTTATAACTAGGGTTAGATATAAGTTTATCTAGATGGCTATTTTTTAAGGCAGAGACTCGTCAAAGGATTGGATCAAAATTTTACACGTACAATATTTTTTGTGGGTTCAAGCAAATTTGTAAAGTAAAGTCATCGAATGTCACAAAAAATTTAAAGATGGATCCCCTTATTTTCACTTAAATTTGAATCTATATTTTGCTTAAATAGAATTATTATTAACATCATGCTTCCATAGTTCAATATAAGTCATTTGAATAATGAGTTCGCCCAGAGAATAAGTGAGGGTACATAACAGTATCAGTGGCGGGGCCAGCCTTCCCAGACAGAGGTTACAAATAGGGGGTAGACTGACTCAATGGGGGTACAACTGTCGAGGCTAAATTTGGCAACTCTGTGGGATTGATTGATTGATTTGGTGCATTCTGACACATTTTGGGACAAAAAACGTATAAAGAAATATTTTAAAATTTGTCAAAGATAAAGTGGGGGTACAATTGGGGGTGAAAACTATTTTTCTAGGAGGGTAAATGTACCTGTACCCTCGCTGGCACCTCCACCATTACATAATTGAGACTTCTCAGGATGGCCAAAGGCGTTTTTGTCGGCCCATTTGACTTGGTTTCGATTTGGTGCAGTTTCGATTAGATTAGTAGTGGTCTACAAATGCGAAATTTGATATGGGTGATTAGGCAATATGGCTGCCTCTGCTGACAACAAAAGAAAGTCATTTATTTGGATTATTATTATTATTATCATTGTTGAACTTCAACATGCTGCCATCTTTAAAAAAAAATCTAATCGCCTAACAACCTCCTCGGACGATTAGCCTAATCAGTTAAGGTAAACTTTCTCACAAATGTATCGATTAGCCTAAACTTCCTGGCTCACAAATGCACAAAATAGCTAGTCCATCAAATCGAATCGGCCCACAAAAACGCCTCAAGTATGTATCAACATTTTCCACTTTTAATGAGCGACAGTCAACTGTAAAAATACTCATAAAGGTATATATTGATGAGAATATTAAAGATATGTTGTCCTTTAAGTTTGGAAGTGAGAAAAGCAAGTCATATACACCTTTATTTTTTATTTTGATTAAAATATTAAAAGGATGATGCCCTTTAATTTTGAATATTATTTAAAAATATAAATTCCAAAGTTATGTTCACCTCTAAAATTGTATATTGATGAAAAACCAAATCATTTAACTCTAATTTTATATATAAAATTTTAAAGGTATTTTTTCACCTTAGTTTGAACATTGTTCAAAATCAAGTTTCCAAAGTGATTTTGTCTCTAAATTTTGTAAATGGACGAAAATCAAGTCTCAAATTTTGAAGGGCTCTTACCCTCTAATTTTGTATATTTAAATGTCAGATATTGTGCAAAAATATAATCATGATTTTAAATCAAATGATATCAAAAATTTCATAAGAGCAGTCCACTTTATTTGAAGGTAGTTTAAGTAGTAATGAATACAATATAAGCCCAATATTATAGTTTCTATTACTATTTATTCTACCTAAAACCACAGTGGACTGTTCATGTTGATGTTTGAATCGAGTGAAATTCAGGGTAATTTTTTTTTATCAGACTATAAATGGCTAAGAAATCATATCAAATTAGGCGCCTTTTGTAATTTTTTCTGAAAATCGTTCACGATATGTTTGATAGTCTCTAGTTTTAAAGGCCAAAAAAGCTAAAAAAAATCATGTTTCTGAGACTTAAGCACTATTAGTCAAATTGTTGGCGACATCGTCCCTTCAAAGAGATAGTTTCTCAGGGCCTTTGAAATGAAATGTGAAAAACGCATAGTTATAGCGAAATTGCAAGAATTACAGATGTCTGACTGAAAATTTGAATGGTGTAACTTGATGCTATCAAAAAATAGACCATATTTAGATTGCTTTAGACCTTATTAAAATTTCTAAAACAAAATAGACTTTTTTATGTTTCTGGGTAGACATAAACTTTGCAATGTGCACTTATGTAAATTTGCCCACGACAATTAAATAAGTCTCTTTTAGACATAAATTCCACCTTATTACAATAAATTGGGGCAACCCCAAGGAGTGTACAGTGAGGTACGTTTTGTTAGGACAATGCACTAGTTTCTTTATGAAAAATATAAGCACATTAATTACACTATATAATAAATTGGGACGACCCAAGGTAGTGTGCAGTGAGGTAAATTTTGCTCATTTTAAATTTGTTAAAGTCTGTTAAGCCTAAGAATAGTATGTATATTTTTATGAAATGTTTTGTACAATATGTAACTGTAGATTTTTTTTTAAAGATTTGTTCATAATCTGATTCAAATGCAGATGTAATGACTTTGTTTCATGTTTTTAATTTTGGGTTAATTCTTTGACCATCAGTGATCTGATGAAATTAATCTTTAACTAGTGTTCAGTCAAATTTTAAAGCATAAAATGTTCATAAGATATGCTAAACAATCGAAACTTTGGTAGAAATCGGCTTACAATATAAGCCACTGATTGAAGACAGTATTTGATTGGATGAATAGTTCAATGACCTAGAACATATGTTACTTAAGAATTTTGTCAGATCATGGATGGCTAGTGGAGTCACCCACAGAATAAACACAAAACGCAATGTCTAGACCTTCATTTTAATCAGACTGAAACGTTCGCATGTATTCATATTGTTATACAAAGTATTGTTCTGATGCTTTTTGTTATTAAAATGCAAGTTTTATCAATCAATTTCGGGTTATTTTTGGGTTATCAAGGCAAGAGATATTTACCACGGTTAGTTGTAAATACCCAGCTACTCCCTTAAGCCCTTTGAAAGTGAACATTGTTACCATTGTTTACGATCACTATAGACATAGCTTGGGTAGTTATAGACCGAAACATCTGAATCTATTCCAGCCTCTGATAGCTATTTAGACAGATGTCGGCTAGCGTAGAGACAGAAAAAATAGGCCATGTTAAATGGGAACATTCCTCATCTCTGGATCCTAGAGCCCATACCTCTTTTAAACCACTTATTTGTACAGGCCATGGATACGTCTGAAACATCCAACGATTATTTAACACAAAGACTTTAAGAGTATGAGCAAAGCAAACTCTCCCGACAGGAGAAGAAAATGTAATCAAAAATATTCTATAGTCTAAAGACAATGCTTTTCGGGTACCCAATGTGCTGTTCATTCTTCTCTAAGCGGTAGTGACACACCAGTCTGGAAATAAATTGAAAAATCATTATAACGCAGTTAGACTACAGCCCGAAATGAAGTTCAAAATGACTACATTAATCATGATTATCTCCCTTTACACAATTTAGCTCTTATTAATGGTGGGCTGAATAGGAAATTAGGAGATGATCACTACAGTATATCATAAGTTTAAAATCCTTAAGATTGGAAGGAGGGGGGGG